TCGTTTTTATATCTCAGATTTACATTACCCCAGATCTCCAAGAGGCTGCTTGTCATTATTTAGGAAAGTGATTTGTGACGTTCTCTCTTCTAACATGTCTAAGGGTACTTTTAAAAGATATAATTTGAATCATAAATTCTTAACGTAGTTCACAGTTAAAACTGCTCCGTCACAGCTGACAAAAAAAAGTAAACATTATTTTTTATAAAAAATATTAAAAATACATCAAGATATCATTAAAACCTTCAGAGTTATTCTGAAAACATATGTAAATACTATCGTGTCACTATATTGTACCATTAAAAAGAAATAAAACAAATGGTACATTTTGGAGTAAGATACCGCGGCGCCGTTTTCAATAGCTTTTACTCTTAGCGTTGTTGGACTTCAAACAAAAGTTAAAATCACCTGCAAATGATATACGCATAGCATGGAGTAAGAAATTTTCTTTGGTATAGCGAAACATATGAGTAAAAAAATAAATTGTGTGGGTTTCTTAGTGTTTCTATGCAAAATAGCACGCTCCGTCACAGCGGACAAATTTTTCGATACAAGCCTGTGTATATAATGGGTCATTCTGTATATTGTGTTTATACTCGAGTGAGTATATGATATATTCACAAGTGAGCGGACTCTAAGTCCAATTATAGTTGTATAACAGGTGTCTATAACAACAATATATAGTGGAGAGTGGTATATCGTCATCGTATACACTCCACCGTATACCACTCTAGCGTATACCACTGAAAAAGTGCATTTTGGGAACTAATCAACATAGAAAAACTTTTACTGCTATTGAAAGATTGGGTGGTTGTGCATCATAGTGACAACTAGCCACAGTCTACCAATAAAGACTAGCGATCTGTGCAGGCGCATAGGTTAAAATGTACTAGAATTGCACGGGATATCTCTGCGTGCATTGATCTTCTGCAAAAACAACAATGGCGGATGTCATAGGAAAACTTTTGACCGGAGAAAGTGCCGTTTTTCACAGTATACTATAATATATGAGGCTACAACTATAATTGGACTTAGAGTGGTATAATGCTCCTTATCTTATGGTCTTCCCTTATTTAAATAATGTACATGTTTAAGGGAATACATATATCATATAATTGCAGTACTTGATCAAAGATTTATATTTAGGGGTGTGATCAAAATATCAGTGATTTACTGCGCAAAACTCTCAATCATAATTGATTTGTGCAAAAATTTATTTATATTTATTTGATCCCTAACTTTGTTGTGTAAAATTATAAGATATACTCAGTATTTTTGACTTGTACATTTTACTATTCATTATGTTATATCTTGATGATAATATTGTTATTGTGTTATGATTTTTGAATATTTTAATTTACAGTTTTAAAGTACATGTATTTGGTTTACAATCAATAATTTAACCCTTAAACCGTTAGGGTATAGAGAATTACACCAACAGTTAGGGGGGGGGGGCAGATCTGCCTCCATATGATCTCGGAAACAAACAATCATATGAGGGTGCATTGGTATCATTGGAAAGGTTATTTAATTCCCAGTATTTTGAGCTTACTTAAAACTATATTGAGCCATTATTAATGAAAAAATTCATATTGTAAATACAAAGGGTTTTTTCATTTAAAGTCAAAAAACTGACAATTTGGGTATTTTACTAACTTTGAACAGCTCTAACTCACTATTTTTTTTCTCGCTAAAACATGCCTAATTCAGTTTTAAGGAAAGTCAGAAAGTTTAAGGTTAGGGGAGGGGGCAGATCTGTCATCCTAATCATTTAAAGGTTGTTAATACTGCTGTGTTTTTTCTGCATTTGAAAATTTAAAACTCGTAACTTTAAGAATTAGTGGTGATTGACTGATGTTAACAATTAATGTCATATATGAAGTCAAGTCTATTTAGACAATGCCAAGTGCAATACTACATTTATTTACAGTACCATATGATGCAGTATTACATGTGGAATCGTGTATTCTTGAAATAAATAATATATTAACCCAGCATAATGGTATTCTGTTATTTAATAGGGAGTTTAAGCTTGCATATAAAATCGAAACACCAACCTACAGACCAATCCCCCATACAAATGTTGTGAAAAACAGTGCAAGCTTAAACTCCCTAATATCTATTGCAACCAGTCATGCTACATTTTAGTGAATGGCATCATCATTTGAATGACCCTAGAAGTGAAATGTAAAAATTGACCCCAAATTTGACAAGCATCATTGAGTAGATCTAATAGTTTTTAAAATCCCAAGAAAATATCCTGCGAGTCATTTCAATTAAATAACCAACATATATTGAAGAATTAGATTTTAAATAATTTATTATCATATATGTATATACAAATAAAAGCAATAATAATTAACACTGGAAATGGCATACAAATATTATACTTTTAAGGCAATAAGTTTAAATATTTTTATATAACACAATATATTCATGAGCATCAGGAATACTGAAAGTTTGTACAGCAGTAAAGCAATTTATGTAATTTAGACTGAGATCATAGAGGATCCGAGAGGGGGAATGTCCCATAATTTAAGGATAAATCCAACAGAGGGGAATATCCCATAATTCAAATTTCAAAGATGAATCCAAGAGAGGGGAATATCCCATAATTTAAAGATGAATCCAAGAGAGGGGAATATCCAATAATTCAAAGATGAATCCAACAGAGGGGAATATCCCATAATTTAAAGATGAATCCAAGAGAGGGGAATATCCAATAATTCAAAGATGAATCCAAGAGAGGGGAATATCCCATAATTTAAAGATGAATCCAACAGAGGGGAATATCCCATAATTTAAAGATGAATCCAACAGAGGGGAATATCCCATAATTCAAAGAAGAATCCAAGAGAGGGGAATATCCAATAATTTAAAGATGAATCCAAGAGAGGGGAATATCCCATAATCCAAAGATGAATCCAAGAGAGGGGAATATCCCATAATTTAAAGATGAATCCAAGAGAGGGGAATATCCCATAATTCAAAGATGAATCCAACAGAGGGGAATATCCCATAATTCAAAGATGAATCCAAGAGAGGGGAATATCCCATAATTTAAAGATGAATCCAAGAGAAGGGAATATCCAATAATTCAAAGATGAATCCCAGAGTGAGAAATATCCCATAATTCAAAGATGAATCTATGATCTTTTTTTATACAAAACATTAACATGCAAAATGTCACCACTTGCCATTTGTTACAGATGCCAACCACCGAATACCAAACATCATCCAGAAAAAAGCCTTTAACAATATGTGTTGGTGACAGAATAAATATGAATATTCATTCATCAATGACAGATGCCATCATTATTGTTGATTGGTCGAACATTTATACTCAGAAACAAAATGATGGTTCAAAATTGATTGAAATGAAAGAGTTATGCAGAAGAGGTAATTCAACTATGAATTCAACTATGAACTATGGGCAATCTCCCCCTCTTTAGATCTAACCTTTTTACCCAGAGATTTTAAAGCAAGTTTAAAAAACGAGGCATCAACATGCAAAATGTCACCAACTAGCATTTGTTACAGACACCATCCACACACCGTTGAATGCCGATGGAGATTATATCAATATGTCACCACTTTTGACAGTGACATAAAAAACTATGTACCTCAAATAACTTCACATAAACCTTGTTCCAGAATTTTTTCATGAAAAATTTCATATCCCCTGATATCAAATAGTTGACCCCAAACATCTATCAACCGAATGTTACATCACAATCCCATACCCATTACTAAATAAATCAACATGAAACACATATAAACATATATCAGACGTTTTATAATAATACTAAAATGGAGAGTATCCAATAAAACACGGCTCACAGATGACAGTACATACTGGCCAATGGAGAAAATAAATTATTGCATTACTTTAACCTCTTGAATCCCAGCCTCTAAAATTGGTTGAAACCACAGAATTTTTCATTTTTGCCACCTTTTGTCATTTTACTACATACCTTTACAACTTTAGATGCTCAACTTAGTAAAATTAGATGGCAGAGATCATTTCTACACGTTTTAAAACAATTTTTGTGTAAATTGGATGAAAATTGTTCAAATAAGAGCATTTTTTTGTGAACAATTTTGTGATGGATTTTCTCGTCCCTCTGGGTTTCAAGGTCATTTCTGAGGTGACGAGAAATCTTGTCATTCTGGGTATTCAAGAGGTTAAGGACTTGATTTACAAGAATTCCTAATAATATCAGGAAACATTGATTGCCATTACCATATCTTTCATAATGTTGAATGAGAAGCAATGTTTTAGAACTTTTTCATTTCTGTAGATTTATACCACTTTCCTTAAAATGATGGTTTGCTTTTCGCTGTTGCTATAGTAATTTGTTCTTGTTTGCTTTAGAATAAAATAACTCTGTGTTATCCAAAAAGTGTCTATTGTTCAACATCAGGGAACCATTGATGGCAGTTACATTGTCTTTAGAATTTTCATTTCACGTTGATTTTTACAACTTTCCCATTGAGTTTTGGCTTTGTAATGTTCTACACATCAGGCATATATGCCAATAGAACCCATAAGAACTCTTTAAGAAATGCAACATACCTTGTGAGTGAATGCCATAAACATGAAAACTTCCTCCACTTAGCGATGTGACATGAATTGCACAATCAAAATTTCTCGTGCAAATTGCAAATCATGTCCTTTCACCTTAAATGGTGGAAGATTTCAAAAGGTAGAAAATGGCCATTAATATACCCTGAATAATCTGGATAATTGTAAACACACTCTGATAAGGCGATCTAGCCTGTTGGCCAAATTCACCAAGAAAATTGCACAGTTTATCTATTCATTAGTATCTCTTCACATGCTGACAAGATTTTACATATGATATATCTGTGTTTGAAAACTATATTCATAATCCCAAAATCGTTAGCAGAAATCACTTATTATGACAAGTGATTTCTTCGAGGCAAACTCCCAGCTCCATTAATATTTACATAGCAACGTTGTGTAATAACATTGTATATGTATATGTAGGACACAGGAATAAATTATGTACACAATCAGAGGGGGAATAACCCCAGAGTTCAAAGATGACATACACTTATGAAGTAAACATGTACTGGGATGACATTCATCTCTGATTGGTCAAAATCAACAAACAAATGACGCCATCAATAGTGGCTTCATAACTTGAAATACCCTTTGAATAATATTATGTTCAATTCTGGCATGATAACCAATATCATAGCTTCTTATTTCACATCAAGATAAAGAAAGGTGTAAGGAATATGCCTACATCAATTAAAACATCACATCGAAGTGTAGTATTTGGAAACTAGTCAGTGAAAATTCAAACAAACGAAGGTGGTAAGCAAGAGACGTAATTATGTCTGTTATCACTAAAGCTCTGGGGCTTTCCCTCCTCTTAACACATTGTAAATGTCAATCATTATATATGCATGTCAGATACATACAGGCAAAATCCAGATTTGATCATGAGACAAGAGTATAATAGCCTACATGTATTTTCACAGCTTTATTTTGAAAGGTAATTGAAAATAACAAATTATATCTGTGTCAATCTCCTTACAAGAATGGTTTGTTGTCTCTGTTGCTATAGTAATTTGTTCTTGTTTTCTGTGTCTCTGTTGCTATAGTAACTTGTCTTACTATATTTGTTGTTTAAGTTGCTGGGTTACATGTTCCCTCTTAGGTTCTAAAGTATTTTAATTGTTTTGTCTGGACTGCAAATATAACTATATATGCTAGTTTGTTGTTTTTTTGTTATATCTCAGGTTGCTATAGTAACTCAAATTCATCATCAGAATCATATTGTCTGTCATGAATCTCTACATAATCTGAAAATAAAAAACATAATCACATTAAGTCAATTAATCACATGTATGTTAATCATTTCCTTGAAAGGCATGTTCACATAGCAATGGATATTACCCATTTCCCCTTCCCATATTGATGTATTTCCCATTACAATATGGCATCATTAACAACGTCAGCCTATTAGATTAGCTAGAGTATTTAAATAACATTCATTTTTACATTAATAACTTTTTGTACAGAGAATTGATTTACATGTTATGTATTTCATTAAGCCTTCTGCAATACACAATTGCATGTAATTGATTCCATAACTCACCACTAGATGGACCTCCTGCTGCTAGATTAGCGTGAGGTTCAAAAGGAGGCCAGTGGGCAGGACGTTTCTTGTGGAGTTCAAACATTGGAGTTTTCTCTCCAGATAGAATAAATTTGTTGATGGTTTGGCACAAGTCATTGAAATCAGCTTCATTTGCACAGAAAAACCCCTACAATCAATATAAATATAACAGTAACATTAATTTGAAGGCCCTATGGAAAAAAAACTCAATTCTTTTTATTTTCTCACAATTTTTAGAACAGATTGAAAAACACATTGTTGATCAACACCAATACAATGGAAAGGTTGAGATAAAGTACATTAATTTATCAGATCAATTTCATATTTTATAAACAACCAAAAATCTGTGAGCATTTTCCGAAGCACTAAAATTCAAGATTCTCCAAATTTTCAATTAAGTGAAAAATGATTTTCAGTCTCGAGCAACAAAAACATAAAATCTGGTTCAGCATCCTGCTACATGGATGCTAAAGAGGAAATTTGACCCTTAATCAGTAACAAAGTTGCAAACAAAGTACTGAAGTAGCAAATTTTGAAACAATGTAGCTTTTTTAATATAAAATGTTATAAAATGAAACTTGATGAGTAACTCCAGAATTAAATTATCTTTCAAATAATATATGACATGCCATGTAACATTAAGGAGTTTTTGCTGTAGAGGGGGGTGCTGTTGTTTTTTGACACCCTGTATATATTCAGATGTCCAAGTCTACTGAGTTACATATCATTATAAATTTGAAATATTTTGAAAGGGTTTAATATAGGATCACAGCTATTAGGCTCATACATACCACAGCAACTGAGGGGTCTAGGTCCTTAATCCTCATTCTGCTTGTATATGGACAGTGATACGTCTCATCACTGGTCTTCCCCATACTGTCCAGGTTCACTGCAGGCTGGGTGGTGTGGGGGTCGAGATAGATCAATTCATCACGGAAATGTCCATTGAACCATAATGCATGGTTGGGTTTGCCACCTATGAATCCTACTGACTGTCTGAAGCTTAAGCAAGTCTGAAAAACAAAACAAACCCCTATAAATTGTATGCATTTTACAAAACATAACTATAAATGGACTCTTTAAAGCTGTGACAGAGTATATGCCTATAATGCAACAAAAACACTATAATAATATTTTAGAACTTATTCATTGATCTAGTAGAACTGAATCCTAGTGAATGTCTAAAGACGATTTATGTCTGAACCACTTAGTGCAACATTTCAAAAACGTACTGTATGAAAATAACATGAAAGGTTAATTTATTAGAAGAATGACATGCATTTTAATCCAATTCAGAAATCCTCTGAAAATCATTACATCTATATTTCCCTCAGGATATATCCCATATACAAAACCTACCATAACATAACCCTCATATCTCACCTTAAGACTCTCAGCATAAACCATATTTATATCCGTCAGCCCTAATCTCAATGGAATGATCAACAATAGAGGTCGCCACTTGTTAGGTTCCACACGACCTTCACCTTGACATGACTGACCTTGACTTGAGATATTTGAATTTGAACAGTCTCCATTTGTTAATAAATTGTTTGTTTTTGCACTAGTGGAATCTTTTTGTTTATTTTGTTTTTGTTTATTGTTTTTAGTGTTTGTTTTATCGCCTAGCATGAACTCTTCAATGTTTGGATTCGGTTTGCAGCTACATAATACTCCTGGAAAACACATTTTCATTGGTTTTATACCCAAAAAAAATTTCATATACTAATTGAGCACTGGTAGGGAGATGATATGGCTTGCAAATATCATACTATTGGCACTGAATAAGTTTATCCTCTATAACTTACTTAAATGCTTCTCATTACCTATCCTCTATACCTTACAAGTTTTATCCTCCATGACTTACTAATATCATCCTCTATGACTGTGTTATCCATGGCAACATGTACAACTAGTGAAGACCATTCATCGTATACTGCAAGTTTCTTCATGACTTGGGCTATAGTGTTTGGCCCATACCACTGGCCTACTGACTTTCCCTCTGACACACCCATTGAAGCTGAAAATGTAATATTATTATGATAAACGTGCTTAGATGGACTACATGCTTTTTGCATGTGAGGGGGGTAGGGGTGAATATTTTCGAAACAAATGCGTGATATATACACATGTTTTGTACCAAATGTGTGACATAAACGGCAATTGCGTGCAAAGACCGAAAGGAATGCGTTAGCTTTTTTTCGCCGTTCGGTATTTTACCGTGTCGGCATTTCACAAAAAACGATTTTTTAAAATTTCAACAAATAGCGTGATTTGCGTGATATTTGATCATACACGCTAAATTGATGTGTGATTTCCATTTTTCCAGCAAATGCGTGACAATCACGCCTAATGCGTGAGGGTTGACAGGGCAGGAGTAGACATCTCAACTAGGGGAATGAGCGGTAAATGCTTAAAACTGACTTGAGAAGCTAACTATTCTCATGACAAGCCAAAAAATGCCTACCTATTTGATGAATAGAATAGCAGCAATTTTTCTTGTCTTGGAACATGCGCACAATCTCCCAATATTTAGGGTCATATTTCTCTGTCTGCCATCTCCAATCTATAAAAAAGAACAATAAGTATAGTACATGGAGTGAGATCATTTACCATTTAGTAACGGTGTCCATAAAGTCTCTACATTTTACATTGTAAAGAGACTTTATGAACACCCTGTTTATTTCTATACTTAGTAACTACTTCTCTCATATCACACATGTCCCCTCGAAATTTGGATAAACTGTTTTCAAAAATATTATGCAACTTAGAGTGTTGACTAAATACCAGTTTACTTTATGGTGCCCTGTTATTTCTTCACTCTTGAATTTCATTTTATGAAAATCATGATAAATCGATTTGGTTTAAAGTTTATGGTGCCCTGTTATTTCTTCACTCTTGAATTTCATTTTATGAAAATCATGATAAATCGATTTGGTTTAAAGTTTATGGTGCCCTGTTATTTCTTCACTCTTGAATTTCATTTTATGAAAATCATGACAAATCGATTTGGTTTAAACTTTGAGAATTCAGAAAAAAGCCTCTCAAAATCATAAAATTGGAAATTTTGATACAATATTTATTTTCCATGTTGGAAATTGTCTCTAGAATAAATCTTGAAAATTTCAATAAGAATGGTTGTTCCATTGCAAATATAGAGTAAAAGAGTAAAAACACGACTGCATCATCCAACCTGTCTGGGGTACTACAGAATTCAAATATACCATCAAATAGAAGCAAATGTTAATCTTTGATGGTTAAAAATGCAGATCTCCTAAAATCTGAATGAATGTCAAGGTTATGAAATTGATGTAAGTGTTGACCTAATTTAACCCTGTATAAATCTTTTGTTGCAATTTGCGAAAAGAATCTAAGCCCAGGACTCAATGCATTGTGGATGATTTATTCCACCCCTGCATTGTTTCCTAGACTTTGCATTCTTACTGCTGCACTTATGCAAAGGTCTGGAACAACACATAAATCATCCGCAATGCATTGAATCCTGGGCTTATTTCCTTTAGCAATAGGATACATATCTACCATGACATACCTCTACCTAGGTGACGTAGGAGGAGTGCTTGAGCTAGCATCATCTGCCCACATCTTAACATACATCCCCATCCTGTGTCCCCTGTAGGCCCTGTGCCTCCTAAAATATAAACAAAATGTTACAGGGTGTCAAGAAAGTCTCTACATCTTAACATACATCCCCATCCTGTGTCCCCTGTAGGCCCTGTGCCTCCGTAAATATAAACAAAATGTTATAGGGTGTCAAGAAAGTCTCTACATCTTAACATACATCTCCATCCTGTGTCCCCTGTAGGCCCTGTACCTCCTAAAATATAAACAAAATGTTACAGGGTGTCAAGAAAGTCTCTACATCTTAACATACATCCCCATACTGTGTCCCCTGTAGGCCCCGTACCTCCTAAAATATAAAAAAATTTTACAGGGTGTCAAGAAAGTCTCTACATCTTAACAAACATCCCGTGTCCCCTGTAGGCTCTGTACCTCCTAAAATATAAACAAAATGTTACAGGGTGTTAAGAAAGTCTCTACATCTTAACAAACATCGCCATCCTGTGTCCCCTGTAGGCCCTGTACCTCCTAAAATATAAACAAAATGTTACAGGGTGTTAAGAAAGTCTCTACATCTTAACAAACATCGCCATCCTGTGTCCCCTGTAGGCCCTGTACCTCCTAAAATATAAACAAAATGTTACAGGGTGTCAAAAAAGTCTCTACATCTTTACATGCATCCCCATCCTGTGTCCCCTGTAGGCCCTGTACCTCCTAAAATATTAACAAAATGTTACAGGGTGTCAAGAAAGTCTCTACATCTTTAAATGCATCCCCATCCTGTGTCCCCTGTAGGCCCTGTACCTCCTAAAATATAAACAAAATGTTACAGGGTGTCAAGAAAGTCTCTACATCTTAACATACATCCCCATCCTGTGTCCCCTGTAGGCCCTGTACCTCCTAAAATATAAACAAAATGTTACAGGGTGTCAAGAAAGTCTCTACATCTTAACATACATCCCCATCCTGTGTCCCCTGTAGGCCCTGTACCTCCTAAAATATAAACAAAATGTTACAGGGTGTCAAGAAAGTCTCTAAATCTTAACATGCATCCCCATCCAGTGTCCCCAGTAGGCCCCGTACCTCCTAAAATATAAACAAAATGTTACAGGGTGTCAAGAAAGTCTCTAAATCTTAACATGCATCCCGTGTCCCCTGTAGGCCCTGTACCTCCTAAAATATATAAATTATTTTCATTTAAATTACTGAATATAAAATATTGTTGTTAATACTCATTTCTACAAAACAAAAAATATGGATTTTTATTCTCTCAATGCAATTGCATCTCATTAAAAAACAAACCCCGAGACAGATTTTTTTCATTTTCAAAATGTATATTTCAATATTTTCACATGATTTATAGCTTTGGAAATGATCACTTCCAAAATGTTACTTTTCTTTACAGTAAGTAAGTTAGTAAGTAAGGTATTTATTAGAGTCTCACGCTGTACAAATTAAAATACATTTTGATACAATTGATTAAAACAACAGCTCAGCCGGCTCCGGCTTATGAGAGACTTAAAGATCGAATAGTTCTATGAGTATAAAATGTCTAAAAATGTAAATCTAATATTGCACCTTGTATTATATTACACTTCATAGCATCTTCGTGTTATCATGATTTTATTTATTGTTTTCGCTATTAGTCTTTGTACTGATACAGTGTTCATCATTGTGCAATATTTGCCCATGCTCGATAAGTTGTTAAAGTCCAGTATTTGAAGAGCACATGCTTCTATAAGGGTTTGTCTATTGTCATCGTGTAGGGGGCAGTCAATTACCCAAATGCGAGTAGGTAGTTACCAGTTTCACCACCAGGTGGCTGATTCGGGTCAATTAACATGGCAGGTATATAAGAAAGTTCCCTTAAACCTGAATATTATCAATTTAAGTGGCTCAGTTTTCATATAACCCTTATGCGTCTGATACTTATACTAATGAAAATATGTCCAGTAAAGCAAAATATTATCTGTCTACTAAAAGAAAACATATTTCATTTTTTGTGATTTTATAGCATGGGGTCTATGGGGAATCTCCCCGAGCTAGAAGTCACAGTTTCAAAGAAAATTAATTTTTCAAAGTTGATAAACACTTTTTAAAACCACATTTCTAGATGTAATTTTACATGTAGATTTCAAATATGATATTACTTTGACTGAATTTTTAATTTTTAATGACGTAAATCAAGATTATTTCTACTCGCATCTGGGTTATTAGGATATGGATTTCGTCTTCAACACTTTGGTTGCATAAGCATACTCTGTCGTGTAATTCGACACCTGTGAATCGCCCGGTTTCAATTCTTATAGGGAGAGTTCCTGATCGAATTCGTGCCAAGTAACTACGTTCATATTTATGCATAGGTAATTGAACGTACGGCTCAGGGGTTGTCGCATGCGGTTTATGTAGTCTATATGTTCTTAGTTTATTGCCATGTTCTTGGTTTCTGCGATCGTTCCACAATGAATGATGCCAAATTTCATGTTCAGTAGAGCTCAAGCGATGTCCTAGTTGTTTCAAATGTTGTTTCACATTAGAAATTTTATCCTGCGTTATTAACATTTCAGCTCCGTTGTCTGATAGCAGAGTTTTTACTTTTGATTCCCAGGAACCGCGTAGGCTAAGTGACCAAACATGTATTTTCTTAAGTGTTCGTTGAGGGGACATGTTTTTAATGCGGCACCACATCCGTGCTGATTCGATATTGTGTCGTGTATCTATGCTTGTCCAGCACATGTCTCCTTGTACTGCCGAGTTGGGGGCATGTTGGCCCACACCAAGAAAGAATCGTTGTGCCTTGTTTTGTACAACGGTCGCGGGTGCAGTTGTCGCTTTATTAATGCCCCAAATTCCAGAGCCATACGTCAGCACCGGTGCTACGAGTGAGTCATAGACATGAGTAAATACGTTGTACGATAATCCTCCTGTTGCTCTTGACTTGGCCATTATTTACAAATATCTCATCAATATTCATCCATAAACTCTTACAAGCATAAAGTAAGAAAAAACACAAAATAATAAAAAGTAAGCCCAATAAACAATATACAATGAAAAAAGACATACCTATTGGTGAGAATCCTCTCCTATAAGTGAACCACAGTCTTGAGAGAAAGTCATGTTTTATGTCTTCTAGATCTGCAAACACAAAAGCAAACAATGATTATAGTTGGATTTATAATACAATAAATAGTACCATGGGTACTAGGCTCACAAGGTGTTGCTCAAAGAGAATTTTCTGTGACAAAAATGGCTACCATTTTGAAGGCTTTTTCTCTACAGTAGAACCTGAATAAGTGGAACACCTTTGGGACCACAAAAAAGGTGTTCCACAAGGTTCATTAACATGGAGTAGATAGGCCATGGGACTTAAAAATCACTATTCCACTTGTGGGATGTTCCACTTACAGAGGTTTTCCAATTGACAGGTTCTACTGTACTTGGATTTATAAAACAATAATAAATAGTACCATGGGTACTAGGCTCACAGGGTGTTGCTCAAAGAGAATTTTCCGACGACAAAAATGGCTACCGTTTTGAAGGGGTTTTCTCTATTGCACATGGCGTTAAACGTAACTTAGACATACTGCTCCGTAACGTAAAGATCTCTTTAGATTCTCCAATGGGCCATTTGCTAAATAGATAAATTGAGATGGAAAAACAGGTGGCAGCACGGGTGTTAATAAAGCCGGAATACTGTTCATAGTATTTATCAAAAATATCAGAAAATCACTCACTAGACAACAGCAACACCAAAGCGTAGTAAATCCCATCGAACAGCCATGGCTGGCATATTTACAAAAAAGTATATAGCAAAAATGGCAGCCATTTTTCAAAATGGCCACCTTCTACCAAAAGTGTCATTAGACAGTGTGCCATGTTTATAGTATTCACGTACCAAATATGAAAAAATCGCTCCACTACTTTTCGAATTATAGTAAAATACGTTAAAATAGCGGCCATTTTTCAAAATGGCCAGCTTCTACCAAAAGGTATGACTCCAGCATTCTTTTGCCGTTTTACTACATGCCACAATCAACCTCACTGCCATCATATCAAACCAGGCCCATTTTCCATCAAACTTGGCCCGACTACTATCAAGTGGATGTCCTTCAAAAATCAAGTTGGCATGGTTACCAAAGCCTAATAGTTGCCATGGCAACCGTAGAAATGGGGTAAGAAATGAGAGCAAAAAAGCACCCAAACCCACCATATTGGCACTAATTTATAAAATATTTCTAGACATACAAATTTTCTTAAACTTTGATATCATCTAGGACACTTCTAGACAACAAAAATATCAAAAATTGGGGGTAGGTTTACCACTTCAATTTTTTTCTAGGCTTGGTCAAAGTAAAACTACGAAAAAAGCACTCATTTTCACTTTTGAATCACCTATTATCGCCCAAATGGCTATATTTTTTCAAGGTCAAGGTCGCCATGTTAAAAGTAGAATTACGGAGATAAATCTGCTCTTCAGACAGTGTTTGATGGCTTTTCTTCACCACGGAACAAAGATCTTTGCCCTGGTATGCCCATTTCCATGAGATGATATACGTGAAAGAGGAACTATGTCTTTAAGTGTCATCAAAACTTTATGCCAACACGTAGAAGGCCATTTCCGCACTACTTTTGGTGTAATAATTCCATAATGGGAACATGTTTTCTTATCCAGCACTAGTGTAACTGTTTTTAGGTAATTGAGACATTTCTGATAAAAATGGTATCCAGAAACGTGATATTTTGAATAAAACGGGACCAAAAAACGATCCCTGAAGATGCCTGTATTATTTGAGATTTTGGTGTTTTTCACTGGCCTGAAAAATGGATGGGGTAGGGGAGTGACACACCTTTTGGGCTTATTCAAGTTAGCATTTGAATCAAATGAATGGTCACATGTTTGGTACTATCTTAAAGCTTGTCACGTCTGCTTCAATTTGGTACCCATATCATGAGGTCAGACGCTATATTTTGACGTCACGATGGTACCAAACGATTATAAAATGAAAATTAAGCATCAAAATGTGGCAAAATAATGGTATGACTCCACCATTGTTTTGCCGTTTTACTACATGCCACAATCAACCTCACTGCCATCATATCAAACCAGGCCCATTTTCCATCAAACTTGGCCCAACTACTATCAAGTGGATGTCCTTCAAAAATCAAGTTGGCATGGTTACCAAAGCCTAATAGTTGCCATGGCAACCGTAGAAATGGGGTAAGAAATGAGAGCAAAAAAGCACCCAAACCCACCATATTGGCACTAATTTATAAAATATTTCTAGACATACAAATTTTCTTAAACTTTGATATCATCTAGGACACTTCTAGACAACAAAAATATCAAAAATTGGGGGTAGGTTTACCACTTCAATTTTTTTCTACGCTTGGTCAAAGTAAAACTACGAAAAAAGCACTCATTTTCACTTTTGAATCACCTATTATCGCCCAAATGGCTATATTTTTTCAAGGTCAAGGTCGCCATGTTAAAAGTAGAATTACGGAGATAAATCTGCTCTTCAGACAATGTTTGATGGCTTTTCTTCACCACGGAACAAAGATCTTTGCCCTGGTATGCCCATTTCCATGAGATGATATACGTGAAAGAGGAACTATGTCTTTAAGTGTCATCAAAGGCCATTTCCGCACTACTTTTGGTGTAATAATTCCAAAAGTGTGTTTAGACAGAGAGCAATGTATACTGTAGTATTCACATACCAAATATGAACAAAATCACTCCACTACTTTTTCAGCAAAAATCGTAAAATAATGAGTAAAGGCCGCCATTTTTCAAGATGGCTGCCATGAGCTTCTGTAATATCTACATTTCTAGCTTTATTAATGTCCTTTATAATTTTTTACATTTAAAACATATTGCTATTACAGTTTTACATATTGCACCTAAATTACTGTAAAATCGGCACTAAAATGGCCGCCATTTTGAAATGAGTGGCCATTTTGAAAATTGGCTTTCGAGCAAAACTTCTACTCCCATAGGGTATATGTGTACAAAATATGAACAAAATCGGGCCAAGGGTATTTGAGTTATTGCCCAGACGGACAAATGGACGGACGTATGAACGGACAGGGGCGTTCCCTATATCCCTCCGAACTTCCTTCGATGGGATAACAAAACATGTTACATGTATAATAAATAGTGGCCATCTTCAAAATTTCCTCTTGAACAGAGCTCTTTTATCCCTAGGCATCAGCATATAAGATTTGAACCAAATCCCTCCATTTGTATGTGAGCTACCAAAGATAAATTATAGCCAAAAACAAACAGACATTTTTTATATATTATTTAACTTACATATATTTACAAAACTAATTTAAATGCACAAATATGTGTTAAATCACTCAATTAGTTACTTACATCATTATTCATGAAGTTAATGATATGTTATTGAATAAATAAATTATTTACAAATGTGTAATTTCAGATTGATTGATTTTATGGAAAAAGTGCCTAACAATCCAAAACAAAGAGAACTTAATTTTTTTGAAAAAATGGTTTTAAGACGTGATCATTTTCTTTTTATGTCCGCCATTTTGTTTCAGTCAATTTTTGAAAAATACAACAGCAGTATGTTTAACAACCTTTCCTTTAACACCACTTTGGAATTATTTTCAGTCACATTTTCAGAGGCCTGAAATAACTTTTTCAGTTTGTCTATAACATGACAAAATGTCTTAATTTGCTAGTTTAAAAAATATTTTTTCTACATAACATGAAAAGAATTATTCTGAAATAAACAAGTGTAGGATATGTTTCAGAGAAAAGGCTGATATGTTTTAGAAAATAGGCTGATATATTTCAGAAAATAGCCTGATATGTTTCTGAGAAAAGGCTGATATGTTTTCAGAAAATAGGCTGATATGTTTCAGAAAATAGACTGATATGTTTCAGAGAAAAGGCTGATATGTTTTCAGAAAATAGGCTGATATCTTTCAGAAAATAGGCTGATATGTTTTAGAAAATAGGCTGATATGTTTCTGAAAATAGGCATGACATGGAATGACTAAATCATGACAAAAACAGAAAAAAAATATTCTCCTATATCTATTTCACATGAACATTTCAAGGTTATTACCGTATTATCTCTATTAAACGCACACTCTCTAATAAACGCACACCCGACTTTTTGTCCCAGGTTAGAAAGTCCTGTCCAGATAATATTGAGATCTGATGAAGCTCTAATAAAAAAAACATTGTGGGCAATAATAGAGTATTTTCACCTACTGGTTTATTGTGTCGATTTCAGGAGCTCACAATTCAAGGTAAAAACATAACATATAGCATATTCTCTCTTAATAAACGCACATATCTACTATATTTGATCGATTTAAGGTATAGAAGTAAATTTTCACCCATTATCGCCCACCATCATAATTTTTTAGAATTCCCGGGGATTTAGCTGCTTGAAACCTCTCCCCCATGGGAAGTTGTTAAGCGCACTGTGCGTTTAATAGAGATAATACGGTATCAGTATATACAAACTTCCATGCATTGTGACTGAGGTAATTTTAAATAATGATCCACAAAATTTTATTAGTCTTAAGTTAAGGTCCACTAGTCTGAAACGAATAGAATATAAATTATTCCTACATATTACTACAGAGTGTAGCTTTAAGCGTTACGAAAATCGAACGCTATTTTCGAATGAGAGTAGAATATGAGTGAGTGAATAGGTGTGTAGTGTTTAGGAGTGACGAAATCATTCTGGCTAGGTCGTCTATACAGTTAACACCTTCTTAAACGTCCTTACAGGTTAAACATGTTCAACGTTTGATAGGTTCCATGCATTAGTTCATACCTTTTCAGGCCACATTTCGAGGCTCCTCAGATAGAGGTTTTAATGGTGAAAATTAATGCATTCAATCAATCGAAAGTTTTTTCAACATACCATTAAGTATCAGTCCTTACGATTTTATGTACTAGTAATCCAAATCAACTCAGACATGCATCTGTAGGCATACCTTATTACCGATGTTCATAAACGATGCATAAATTTACACTACTGGAAAATTATATGGTGTATTCAATAGGTCATGTTCTTAATAAACGAGATTCGACCTCTAGCCAAAGCTATTTTTAATATCAAATGAATGTTATGTTAGTTAAAAGCGCAACGCTTTGTAATGTATAGAATGAACTTAAACTTGTCTTTTCAGGTAGGATTTGGTGATAAATGCTTCAGAGCAAACATCATATTTGAAGTGTCTTTCTTTAGTATGGATTTTAACATTTGTACTAAGATTGGTTTTAGTACTGTAGTAACAAATGTTTTTCAACAACTATTACATTTCAAGTTCCTTTCTCCAGTATGGAATTTAACATGTATTTTTTGATGGGAACGACATATATATTTGAGAACAAATCACATTTCAAGTTTCATTCTCAAGTATGAATTTTAAGATGTAGTTTCAGATCCGATTTAGTGACAAATGCCTTAGAACACACAGCACATTTAAAGTTCCTTTCTCCAGAATGATATTTAATATGTCTATTCAGTTCGGATTGGGTGATAAATCTTTTAGGACATATATCACATTTGAAATTCCTTTCTCCAGTATGGACTTTAACATGGGTTTTCAAATCAGAATTAGTGACATATGTTCTAGAACAAACATCACATTTGAAGTTCCTTTCTCCGGTATGGATTTTAACATGTCTTTTCAGATGGGACTTAGTGATAAATGTTTTAGAACAAACATCACATTTGAAATTTCTTTCTCCAGTATGAATTTTAACATGCATTTTCAAGCTGGATTTAGTTGCAAATGCATTAGAACAAACATCACATTTGAAATTCTTTTCCCCCATATGGATTTTAACATGTCTGTCCAGATTGAATTGAGTAATAAGTGTTTTAAAACAAACATCACATTTAAAGTTCCTTTCTCCAGTATGATTTTTAACATGTATCTTCAGATTTGATTTTGTGATGAACGTTTTCGGACAAACATCACATTTGAAGATCCTTTCTCCAGTATGGATTTTAAAATGTCTTTTCAGGTCAGATTTAGTGATAAATGTTTTAGAACAGACATCACATTTGAAGTTCCTTTCTCCAGTGTGGATTTTAACATGCATTTTCAGATATGAATTTGTGATAAATGTTTTAGAACAAACATCGCATTTGAAGTTTCTTTCTAAAGTATGGATTTGAACATGGCTTTTCAGATTGGAATGAGAAATAAATGTTTTAGAACAAACATAACATTTCAATTTCCTTTCTCCAGTATGGATATTAACATGAATTTTAAGATCAGATTGAGTGATAAATGTTTTTGAACAAATATCACATTTGAAGTTTCTTTCTCCAGTATGGATTTTAACGTGTTTTTTCAGATGTGATTTCGTGCTAAATGTTTTAGAACAAACATTACATCTAAATTCTCCAGTATGGATATTAGCATGTATTCTTAGATGTGTCTCAGTTATAAATGATTTAGAACAAACATCACATTTGTAGTTCCTTTCTCCAGTGTGAATTTTAAAATGTATTTTCAGATTGGATTGAGTGATAAATGTTTTAGAACAAACATCACATTTGAAGTTCCTTTCACCAGTATGGATCTTAACATGTGTTTTCAGAGATGATTTAGTGCTAAATGTTTTAGAACAAACATCACATTTCATCTTGGTTTCTCCAGTATGGATTTTAGCATGTGTTTTAAGATGTGATTTAGTAATAAATGTTTTAGTACAAACATCACATTTGTAGTTCCTTTCTCCAGTATGAATATTTTCATGTATTGTCAGATTGGATTGACTGATAAATGTTTTAGAACAAACATCACATTTGAAGTTCCTTTCTCCAGTATGGATTTTAACATGTCTTTTCAGAGATGATTTAAGGCTAAATGTTTTAGAACAAACATCACATTTCAACTTGATTTCTCCGGTATGGATTTTATTATGAATTCGAGAATGAACTTTAAGGTGAGACTTTTGCAAAAAAGATTTTAAACAAACATCGCACTTAAAATTCCTTTCATCCATGTGAATTCTATAGTGGACTTTAAGCTGAGATTTCAACTTAAATAATTTTAAGCAAATGTCACATTTATGCACCTTTTTGCAATCAGTGGCTGACTTCTGGGTATGATCTGACATCGCATTTGTTTCACCATCAGCTATATGTGCAGAGTCACTTATCAAATTATCTCCCTCCATAATGTTTATGATTATTCCAATGTTCATAAACCAGCCTTATGATATTCACTTTCCTAGTAAACTTATTTCTATTTACAAAGTCATGTGTAACTGTTTCTTCACAATCAATGTTAAAAATATCTGGTTCAATTCTTGGTTCAAGTCTATGCAAACATCTTCTTTTTCTGGCCTCCTAGCTGAGAAAATAATCTGGAAAAATAAAATTGCTAACTCGTTTCATGTGATTTCCTATGTTTTGAATACATCTTTTATCTTATAACCCCCACTAATCGCGCTAAAAAGCTTCAGACTCCTAATACTAGAATGAAAATACATGTATATTTCATTCTGAATATAAAATCACAAAATTATTCTTTTGCAAAAATTAAAGTTAAATTGTGCTTCTTATATGGCATATTGCATATATTTTCAATTTTCTTTCCATCTAGTGAATTACTTGAGATATTAAACAGAAATTGTCCAAGTTGAACATTTCATATACAAGCTCACATACCTTGATGTTTAACCTAGCTCCATTATTTCAGCAAATGAAACCACTGACCTAGTACTTAACACAATAAGTGTATAAATGAATATAACTTATTGAATCAATAACACCTTAGAGCAACAGTTGGTCAATAAATAGAGATTATCATATGTCAGCTTCAGAATATTGGGATAATCCCAAAGGCAAACACACGTTGTTATGGAATAATACTTTCTATTTGTATGTTTTCTTGGAACACCAAGGTGTGGTGGTAACTCCTAAAAATTCCTGAGACAACAGAGAAGCCTGTCGAATCAGAGCAACTCTGGGACTGGCCATGAGTGTTTGAATTTGAAGGTGTTCTAATGTCAAGGTTTATGAACGGCTTTATTGACCAGCTCCTCCCATGTTGGCTTGTTGGGCAACCAATCTCCCCAAAGGCATACACATTGTTGTTATGGAATAAACAGCAAATAGCTAACACTCTACAGTGTTTGTTTACAATTGGTATTTCTTCACTAACAGTATTTGATATTCAGAATCTTCTATGCTAGAGTGGTATTGAAGTTTTTTCCATATCAAAAGAATTTGTCAGCCATTTTAGATGAGACTAGCTAGAGTTATAGTCAACTAGAAAACAGCAACTCCACAGAGTAGCAAATTCGATCAAACAAAACATGTTACGATAAATAGTAGCCGTCTTGAAAATATCCTCTTGAACAGAGCTCCTTGAACCAAATCCCTCCATTTGTATTGGAGCTACCAAAGATAATTTTTTAACAAAAAATTATAGCCAAAAACAAACATTTTTTATATATTATTTTATTTACTCATATTAACAAAACTAATAAAAATGCACAAAAATGTGTTAAATTACTCTATTAGTTTTTACATTTTATATATTATTTTATTTACACATATTAACAAAACTAATCTAAATGCACAAAAATGTGTTAAATTACTCTTTTAGTTACTTACATTATTATTAATGCTTATTAGTAAAAAATTATTAATGAGTAAACGATGCGTAATTGAGTCTGTGGACTTATTTTCAGTCACATTTTCAGAGGCCTGAAATAACATTTACAGTTTGTCTAGTGCTGTTCTTGAACAATGACCACTATATCAAAAAATATAACATGACTTGAAAATGTCTTACTGGTTTTAATATTTTTTCTAAATAACATGAAAAGAACTATTCTGAAATAAACAAGTGTACGATATGTTTCAGAAAATAGGCTAATATGTTTCAGAAAATTGGCTGATATGTTTCAGAAAATTGGCTGATATGTTTCAGAAAATAGGCTGATATGTTTTGGAGAAAAGGCAGATATGTTTCAGAAAAAAAGCTGATATGTTTCAGAAAATAGGCTGATATGTTTCAGAAAATAGGCTGATATATTTCAGAAAATAGGCATGACATGGCATGACTAAATCATGACAAAAGCAGAAAAAATAATATTCTCCTATATCTATTTTACATGAATAACTTCAAGGTTATTATCAGTATATACAAACTTCCATGCATTGTGGCTGGGGTAATTTCAAATAATAATCCACAAAATTTTATTAGTCTAAAGTTAAGGTCACTAGTCAAGTGAAAATGATTTAAAGCAAACATCACATCTGAATATAATGAACTTAAACTTGTCTTTTCAGGTGGGATTTGGTGATAAAAGCTTCAGAACAAACATCACATTTGAAGTGTCTTTCTCCAGTATGGATTTTAACATTTGTACTAAGATTGGTTTTAGTAATAAATGTTTTAGAACAACTATTACATTTCAAGTTCCTTTCTCCAGTATGGAATTTAACATGTATTTTCTGATGGGAACAACATATATGTTTGAGAACAAATCACATTTCAAGTTTCGTTCTCAGGTATGAATTTTAAGATGTAGTTTCAGAACCGATTTAGTGACAAATGCCTTAGAACACACAGCACATTTAAAGTTCCTTTCTCCAGAATGAAATTTAATATGTCTATTCAGTTCAGATTGGGTGATAAATCTTTTAGAACATATATCACATTTGAAGTTCCTTTCTCCAGTATGGACTTTAACATGGGTTTTCAAATCAGAATTAGTGATATATGTTTTAGAACAAACGTCACATTTGAAGTTCCTTTCTCCGGTATGGATTTTAACATGTCTTTTCAGATGGAACTTAGTGATAAATGTTTTAGAACAAACATCACATTTGAAATTTCTTTCTCCAGTATGAATTTTAACATGCATTTTCAAGCTGGATTTAGTGGCAAATGCATTAGAACAAACATCACATTTGAAGTTCTCTTCTCTAGTATGGATTTTAATATGTTTTTTCAGACTGGATTTAGTGATAAATGTTTTAGAACAATCATCACATTTGAAGTTCCTTTCTCCAGTATGGTTTTTAACATGCATTTTCAGATTTGACTTAGTGATAAATGTTTTAGAACAAACATCACATTTGAAGTTCCTTTCTCCAGTATGTATTTTAACATGTCTTTTCAGATCAGATCGAGTGACAAATGTTTTAATACAAACGTCACATTTGAAGTTCCTTTCTCCAGTATGGATTTTAACATGCATTTTCAGATGTGATTTAGTAATAAATGTTTTAGAACAAACATCACATTTGAAGTTCCTTTCTACAGAATGGATTTGAACATGTATTTTCCGATCAGATTGAGAACTAAATGTTATAGAACAAACATAACATTTCGATTTCCTTTCTCCAGTATGGATTTTAACATGTTTTTTCAGATCAGATTGAGTGATAAATGCTTTAGAACAAATATCACATTTGAAGTTCCTTTCTCCAGTATGGATTTTGACATGCATTTTAAGATGTGATTTAGTGCAAAAAGTTTTAGAACAAACATTACATCTAAATTCTCCAGTATGGATATTAGCATGTATTTTTAGATGTGTCTTAGTTATAAATGATTTAGAACAAACATCACATTTGTAGTTCCTTTCTCCAGTATGGATTTTAATATGTATTTTCAGATCGGATCGAGTGATAAATGTTTTAGAACAAACATCACATTTGAAGTTCCTTTCTCCAGTATGGATTTTAACATGTCTTTTCAGAGATGATTTTGTGCTAAATGTTTTAGAACAAACATTACATTTCAACTTGCCTTCTCCAGTATGGATTTTAGCATGTGTTTCTAGATGCGACTTCGTAATAAAGGTTTTAGAACAAACATCACATTTGTAGTTCCTTTCCCCAGTATGGATCTTAGCATGTGTTTCTAGATGTGATTTAGTGATAAATGTATTAGAGCAAACATCACATTTCAAGTTCCTTTCCCCTGTATGGATACGACTGTGACGTGCAAGTGCATACTTTCTTAAGAATACTTTAGAGCAGACATCACATTTGAATTTTTTTTCTCCAGTATGAATTATATAATGGTCCTCAAGATTTCGTTTTCGAGTGAATGTTTTTGGGCAAACTTCGCACTTGAATTTCCTGTCTCCAGTATGGATTTTATAATGAATAGCAAGAGATGATTTGTGAGCAAACGTTTTTGAACAAATATCACATTTGAAATGTTTCTCCCCTGTATGAACTCTATTGTGCTCTTTAAGATAAGATAAGGTCTTAAATGCTTTTAAACAAACATTACATGTGTAATTTCTTTCTCCTGTATGGATTCTCATGTGTACTACAAGAGAAGACTTGTGTGTGAAATTTTTACAGCACATATCACATTTGTAGTTTTTCTCACCAGTATGGATTTTACTATGCAGAGTTACTTCAGATTTGGAGGCAAATGTCTTGGTGCAAATATCACACTTGAAATTTCTTTCTCCTGTATGGATGAGTTGATGCCTTTTAAGTGCAGCATTCATGGCAAATGCTCTCAAGCAAATATCACACTTGAAATTTTTTTCTCCAGTATGGAATCTAAGATGGATTTTAAGATTCCATTTTTGTCGAAATAATTTTGAGCAGACATTACACTTAAAGTTCTTTTTGGCCATATGAATTTCAGAATGAACTTCAAGGTGAGACTTTTGCAAAAAAGATTTAAAACAAACATCACACTTAAAATTCCTTTCATCCATGTGAATTCTATAGTGGACTTTAAGCTGAGATTTCAACTTAAATAATTTTAAGCAAATGTCACATTTATGCACCTTTTTGCAATCAGTGGCTGACTTCTGGGTATGATCTGACATCGCATTTGTTTCACCATCAGCTATATGTGCAGCGTCACTTAACAAATTATCTCCCTCCATAATGTTTATGATTATTCCAATGTTAATAAACCAGCCTTATGATATTCATTTTCCAAGTAAACTTATTTCTGTTTACAAAGTCAGGTATGACTGTTTCTTCACAATCAATGTTAAAAATATCTGTGGTTCATTTCTTCGTTCAAGTCTATGCAAACATCTTCTTTTTCTGGCCTCCTAGCTGAGAAAATAATCTGGAAAAATAAAGATTGTTCACTTGATTTGTATGCCATCCCAGGCAAGAGCTGATCCTCACTCTTGCACAACAGCCCTAAAAAGCTACAAAATTCTACTACTAGAATGATGTATACTCTTTTACAATGTTCATTTACTCAAACTCTCTTTCTCCCCTCCCCCTGACTTGCATTACTTGACTAGGCCAACCTATTCATCTCATATGAAAGCCCAATTACCTACTTGTTGTTAGTTTCACCATTTGGCAAATGAAATCATTGACTTTTTTCTCCTGGAACCTAGTAGTGAATGTCCTTTTATATATTGATATTAACACAATTTAATATATCGTATATATGAATTTATACCTTTGAACCACAGCATGTGAATAATAAAGCATTTAATACATTTCCAGATAACACAGATAAAAGTGACTATCACTGCTTACTGATATCAAAGATACGTGTACATGCATGTTCAATAGACTAGATGCGAGTAGAAATAATCTTGACCTTACGTCATTAAAAATTAAAAATTCAGTCAAACTGAGGTGATATTTGGGATCTAAATGTAAAATTACATCTACAAGGGCCGATCAAAAAGTTTCTTACCGTTGGCTCTCAACTTTATAATAAGAGGAGTTGGAAACTTTAACATGAGACAGGATAGTTAGTTTGCTTGAAAATGAACGAGTTTCATATAAATTGGTTTATTGGTAGTGACACAGAGTCAAATCATATTTTCAATGACAAAGTAAGGTGGAGTAGCGTTATAACTATAAAATATCTGCCGAGTTGTGGTTCTGGAAATTTACCAACATCGTTTCAAACCTCTCATACGAAGACCTTACACATGTGTTTTTGGATCGAGTGGACAGATATAGGAAGTGCATTGCAACTGGGGTTGAATATTTTGAATGAGAATGAATATTAGCAGAAAAACTAATTAAACATGATTAAACTACAGTCTGTTGACAGATGACACTACTTAGTGTTAGAAAATTCCAAAACTGCAGCTGTGCACAATTTTTAATAAAAAACGCTGCTCCACCTTATTCAATCTTGGAAATATGTATGGACTCTGTGTCACTACCAATGAACCAATTTAAATGAAACTCAGAGAGTCTCAAGCAAACTTACTACCCTGTCTTATGTAAAAGTTTGAGCATCCAACTCCTCTTATTATAAAATTGAGAGCCAACAGTAAGAAACTTTTTGATCGGCCCTTGTACAAATGTGGTTTTGAAAAGAGTTCATCAACTTTGAAAATTTAATTTTCTTTGAAAATGTGACTTCTAGGTCGGGGAGATTCCCTATAGACCCCATGTATTAAAATCACAAAAAGTGAAATATCTTTTCTTGGGTTTGGCAGATAATATTTTCTTTTACTGGACATATTTTAATTTGTATATCTATCAGATACATAAGGGTAATATAAAAAGTGAATCACTAAAACTGATAAATATTCAAGTTTAAGGGGATTTTGTAATTCCCTATCAGTTTATTTCCCCCGAATCAGCCACCGAGTGGCGAAACTGGTAACTACCTACTCGCACCTGAGTAATTGTACTTGTAATCACCTTAAGCTGCTTTCTTACAACTATGAGGTTATAAAATGGTTGATTCCGTATAACGTGTTTATACTCAAGTGAAGTTATGATACAGGGTGACCGGAAAAAAAGGAGACCATTGAAGTAATCAATTTCTCCTAAACAAGACAAGTGCCATCAATGAAATTTTGCATACACTGGAACAGTTATATGGAAATTTGTTACTGAAGGTTTCAATACAAGCATTCAACTGGTTCAGGAGCTATGATCATTTACATAACATGCTCCAAATAGGCACAATTGAGACCAACGCAGAGTTGGATTCATATGGCAAACTACCCTTACATGTTCTGCCCTCTATGGCATTATTATGGCATTACATATAGCAGTGATTGCCTTCTTTAGGTCAACAATAGTCTGAGGATTGTTTTGGTATAGATTGTCTTTCAAATATCCATACAAAAAGAAATCAGCAGGATTCAAGTCTAGGCTGTAATGGCAATGAAGGGTTATCTGACATGTGGTTCATCATCCTGTTGCCAAAGTGCTGATTTACCAAATCTTAAGAGTCACTTTAGGTATTGGGCATAGTGCCATGTTACTAAAACCACTATATGGCACAATTAAATCCCATATGAAAACCAAGGGCTGCCCAAAACCTCCTTAGGATGATACTGTAACTGAGTGGGACCACTGAGTCAGAAGCCATAGGTCAGATAAGCTTCGTCTCCATACACCTCAAATTTGAATCCACCTGATTTCTTTTTGTGGGGCAATTTGAAAGACAATGTGTACCAAAACAATCCTGAGACAATTGCTGACCTAAAGGTGGCAATAAATGCTAAATGTAATGCCATAACAAGGTCGGAATATGTAAGGGTATTTGCCAAATGTATCCAGCTCTGCGTTGGTCTCAATTGCGCCTATTTGGAGCATGTTATGTAAATGATCATAGCTCCTGAACCAGTTGACTGCTTGTATTGACACTTTCAGGAACAAATTTCCATAGAACTGTCCTGATGTATGCAAAATTTCATTGATGTCACTAGTCTATTTTAGGAGATATTGCCTATTTCAATGGTCTCCTTTTTTTCCGGTCACCCTGTATATTCACGAGTGACTGAAGGGAACGAGTGAATATATTATATACTCACGAGAGTATAACAATATACAGAATCAATCATTACATGATCTTATTATCTCACCATAATCTTTAATCAATAAAAGGTTAATTAAAATTCAACAGTTGTATACGCTATCCAGGAGTTGTATATCGTTCTCAAACGATGAGTGTTGGTTTTATATTGCAGTTATACGTACAATGCTGCAGCTATTATACAATCATATAAAGCACTTAGGATGGGACAACCACTTTTATCTGTTTTTATCGAAATCACTCGTTGTTTACAGAATTTTTGCAATAAAAGAATTTTCATAAACATAATGCCTGTTGATTTTGAATAATGTTTATTTTTTCTTATCTGTGATCCCGGGACATCCAGGAATGGTACTCCTAAAAACGCCTGAGAATATCTGATGCGTACACATTCCATCTACGGGACATCATTAACCCTTTCACGACGATGGGCTCCATATGGAGCCCTATTATACGTCATACCTTTCAGGACGATAGGCTCATTTTGGCACCATTATTTTTATTTATATACATCAATGAAATGATAATATCTCCAATTCTATTCAGTATTTTTACACCAAATTTTGACAAGTTGTTCTAATACGATAGTCCTTACTAAAAAATGTATTTCAGTAAAATTCAAGGTATAGGTCCCTGGGCATAGGTAATTTTCAGTTTCCCCTAAAAACTGCTCTTACTTATCCGTCACCAGGGCCAACATTTTCCTCTTATATTCACGTCGGGAAAGGGTTAAATGAGTCAAAGAAAAGTATGTAGAAGGATCGAGCAAGTATATGAGTGAACTAACTCTATCATTTGAGATTTTAAGCATCTTCTAAAAAACATATACTGTATGCTTAACTAAAATTCCTAAAATCAGAAAAATGCCATATTTAGGTAGAATTGTAAAAACCAGAATTTTCCACCCACTTAACAAAAATCATTGTGAGAACTCTATGTGTAAATGCGACTTACCATATATGGTGCTGTATTTCTCTCCGAGAAGCGTTACTGGATCATTGCATTGTGGGAACTCTTCGTATTCTAGATCAGCGGCCTCATAAGTCATGCACACTGTAACGTAAAAAACAAGGTATTAACATGCAAATTGTCACCACCTATCATTTGTTACAGATGCTGACTGCTGAATGCCAAACAAAAACTACCGAACACAAACTGCCAAACACCAACCACAGGACCCTGGCCATAGAAAAGTTCGAAAAAATAACAGTATGTCACTCCATCTGGTGGCAAACATCTGATGTTCTGGTATTTTATTAACAAATTGGGAAATCAATGTTCAGTATCACACCTAGTGATCAGATCAGCAATGGCATTCTTTTTGCAAGGACGTATTTATTACAGGTCACGCAGACCATTGTTGCTTGATTTGTAGCAAAAACACTGATTTGTGCACGTTGGTGACCTTGCACCTTTTTAATAGATCTTATATCTTAGAAGTGTATCTGTTCAAACAAAATCATAGAAGACCAAATTAATATCACCGTACATTGCGCCTATCCATTCAGCGATTTGATAGTGGGCATATTCATTTCATGGATCATTATTTTTGCAACACTCATGTTTAAGTTCATGTTAGATCAGGGGCGGTGAATTCGTACGATCAGCGATCTGATCCAGATACATTTCATCATGGTAATGATGCATTGTGGGATTAATCCAAGAATTAATCCAAAAATCGGTGAATTCGTACGATCCTGGGATTAATCTCAGGATAAATCTCAATCCACCTCCTGAGGTGGATTACTTTTTGGATAAATTTTATCCGAATTCCAATGCAAATTGGATAAATCTTGGGGATTCCCCCTCATAATCCTCGGATCATACGAATTCACCAAATATTTATCGGATTAGTTATTCAAGATTTATCCCAAAAGATAAAATTTATCCGGATTGGATTGGGATCGTACAAATTCACGGCCCCCGATATAATTTGAATCAAACTGAAACATTAATGTTAACACGCAAAATGTCACCACATGCTATTTTCCAAATGCCAAAGATCAACTGTTAAATACCACCAAACATTAACCACCACCACAAAAGAGTTTGAGACTATGACCACTTGTGGTGGTGACATAACTTGGAAAAGGAATGATGGGAGCACAGTATTAATATCAATAACTCTTCTTTTGGTACTTGCTTCTACTTCTCGTGTTTGGTATTAGGGGACTATTGAGAAAACTGAATTTTCACTCTTGGTATACGCAGCTAACGAAAATTGACCGGTATGGGTCAAAAGCTGGACCGGTACCAGGGTTCGAAATTAGCGTTGCGAAAGTAACGATTAGTTCCTTAATTTTCTTGAATAGTTACCTAGTAACATGCCCAAGTAACGAAAATAGTTACCTGAGGAAGATCTCTATGCAATCGTCAGCTCAACTTCTCAAATGAAATTGTTCGAACAATAAATATTCTCATTTCACAATGTTTATTTCCGGTGACCTAGTTTTCAGACCACGGAAAGTACGCAAGTTTTGATTGGCGTTCATTCGAAAAATATTTATTTTTGAACCAATCAGACCACGGCTTAGAAGCCACATTAAGTAGATCCGACTGGCGCGAATTTGAAACGATGGCAAATCCATTCGCAAAATTTGGCTTTCTCCCAGTTAAGAGAAAGAATAATGGTAAACATATCGTAGTACTATAACTCGATTGAATTTTTAATTGTGTCACGCTTTTATCTGTCGTTTTCATCTTAGAAACTCTGAAAATTATACGTGATCAGAAAATATTTGTATTCCAAATCCAAGATGGTTGATCGCTAAAATGACGTCATCCTCATTTCCATGGAACAATTTAGTTAATTTCAAAATGCTGTTAGTTTATCTTTATATGTAAAATGTGCCATTTTGTTGAGTTTATTCATTAAAATATAGAAATCACCTTACTTCAACACAGAGCTTGTGTTACGCTGCTAGATCCAAGGATTATTTTTTCGGGTATACCGGGACGTTAAATGTGCGTTAATAGGCTCATAAAAATCCATCCGCAATTTTATGAATGAAGTTCGTAGTACTACGATTTGTTTACATTAAATTTTTTTATAGAAGCCGATGAATGTCATGATAATGGCAAGGGGAAACAAATCCCAGGTAAACAAAAGCGTAAAACCAGTGATACCCAACAAGAGGCAGGTACAAGTAGTGGCGTAGCAAATGTAACTCAAGCAAACAATGATATAAGGCCCAAGAAACCAAATCCAAATAGAAAAGTGATCATAGCAGGAAACATAAATCAATTAACTGTTAAAATAAATACTTTTAAATTGTGGAAATTTAATCACCTGGAGTTTACTTCTAATGACAAAATACATGTCGAGACAATGTTTTGTAAGGTGTGCCAAAAATATAACCCAAATAAAACACTTAATTTTGTCACTGGAACAACAAACATAACAAAGTTTGCTGCGTTAAAACATGTTAATAGTGATGGCCACAGATCATCCTGTGCTGCTCATGATGCTTCTACTAAAAAAGCACAAAATATACTCCCACCAATGGAAAAAGGACTTCAAAAAATGAGTAATGAGGAATGTGAAAAAATGATAAAACTGTTCAATATCGCATACTATATAGCTGTCAGTGAGAGACCATTTACTGACTTTAAAAGTCTTGTTGAGCTTCATGAGCTAAATGGTGTTAATTGTGGCAAAACCTACCACAATGATCATGCATGTCGCACAATGATAGAACACATTGCCGGTGTGATACGAGATAGACTAAAGGAAAATTTAAACTTGTCACCATTCATCAGTGTTATGTTTGACGGCTCTAACGATAAAGCTGACATTGAACAAGAAGTGGTTATGGTAAGATACCTGAAAGATTTTTATCCTGTTGTGGAATTTGTGTCAATTGAAGCAGTAGAAAATGCTAAGGCAGATGGGATTTTCAGAGCTGTAGTGAATTCACTGGATAATGTAGAAACTGAATGGAGACAAAAACTTGTGGGAATGGGGGCTGATGGAGCCTCAGTCAATCTTGGCAATAACAACAGTGTCAAAACAAGATTTGCAGAGAATCTCCCCTGGATCGTAGCTATACATTGTTTTGCCCACCGAATTGAACTGGGTAATAAAAGTGCATTTCGAGATACTTATATGGACCAAGTTGATTCAGTTATCAAAGACGTGTACTTATTTTACAAGTAAGCATGATTTATCGTATATCAATGAAATGTACTATTTCATTTTGATGTATTCAAGTTTGAGTCATTTGAATTTTGATTCCAGTGAGAAGAAAGACTTACCTAAAATCAAATATTTTAACTAATTAAAGACATTCATTAAGTTTTAAAATTTTAATTCAATTGTGTTAAAATGAGCATGAAAGACCAAAAGATTCAAATAAGCAATAAAATTTGAATATTAGGCCTGATGAAATTACATGGTGAACATGAATTATGCCAAAGTGACAGATGGCATTGTTTTAATTTTCTGTAGCCTGAGCCTTCAGTTGTATTTTTGGAATAAGATACTCAAGAGGCCCATCATACTAGTACTTTGTTTCAAATGTTACTATAGACTTTTCACATGATTATCTCAACCATTTTCAGGGGGTCAGCTAAACGAGTGAGAGAAGCTAAAACTATACTTAGGATGTTAGCAGATGATGATGATGATGACGTATCATTCTCTAAACCAACAAAGAGTGATGGCTCTAGGTGGACAGAGTACAAACTGAGGGCTCTGTTACAAATTAAAAAGAACTTTAAAGTTATTGTGTTTCATATGGAAAGCTACATTAATGATCACAGTAATAAGGCTGCAGATAGAGCCAAGACAACTGGTATTTTACGTAAACTGAAGGAGTTCAAATTTGTGTATAATATGCATTTGCTGATAGACATATTCAATGAAATCACGAAATGAAGTTTGCTCTTTCAAAGGAACGACATAACAGTTCCTTCACTTGTCAAAATAACTGAAACCACTCTTGTTCTTTTAACTTCAATGCTGGATCTGCCAGGTCCTCATTTGGAGGAATTTTTAGAGTCCCAGAGAGGAGAACCTGGTATTTTTCAAGAGATTCAATTGGGCCACATAGTAGATGTAGAGATATTGGCTAACCAGAAAAATGTAATTCTAAACAAACTTATTGAAAGTCAAGGTACAAGGTTCGATACTCTTAATGACCCACTGTTTGAAACAATTAACATTTTTGATCAAAAAAACTGGCCTATTGAAAGACAGGCATTGACAAATTTTGGAAATCAAGAAATCAGTGTAATATCTACTCATTTTGAGTTGATATTAGCCAATGCTGGCTTTGACAGTGATAATCTTCAAAATGAATGGGTACAGCTAAAGCAATTCGTAAGTGGCAGAGATGATCTTATGATTCTCCATCCTCTAGCAATATGGCAGCATTTAAGTAGAGTGGACATAGAAAGGCAAGAATGGAGAAACATCCTCCTTATAATACATCTTACCTCCATTTACCCACTCTCCACAGCCCCGTGTGAGAGGGCCTTCTCTTGCATGAAACGTATTAAGACTGACTGGAGATGCAGACTAAATAACCAAACTTTAACAGACCTTATGCAAATAAGTATGAATCAAAACAACAATGATCAATATAACGCTGCAAGAGCAGTGAACAGATAGTATTTAAGTGGCCGTAGGTCAAAACGACCTACTGTGATGGATGAAAGATGATAGATACCCTACAATACCCTCTCACGCTTATTTCGAACCCTGTCTATGGGAGAATGATCTGTTTGCTGAATAGGGATTATTCTATATTTAAGTCCAACATAAAAATGGTTACAAGTTAACACCTAAAATTTACCATGAATATAATGTTGACAAATTAAGTTTTGTACACTGTTTAAAACTTGAGATTTTTAGACTCATCTTTGAAAACAGGTCATTAAATTTAAATGTTTACATAAATGTTTATCAGTTTATATGAATATTTAATAAACTTGATGTAAACAAATCAATGAACTTTTTTATTTTATGTAGTGTTCAGGGAAAACTGTGTTTTATCGAATTTTTCAAGCGGTAAAAAACAACTACCTTACTTTGGCATTTAGTTACCTAGAAAAAGTTACAGAGGTAACTATTTTCACTACCAAGCTAAAAAGTTAAGTTCGAACCCTGGGTACGGGTTAACGGTTTTATTTGAATTTAAAACAGCCATAACTTGCTCAATATTGACTTCCTCGTGTCTAATTTGAAATATATGATGCCTCCCGATGCTTTTAAGTACCCCAATTTTTTACAGATTTTAGGTATGATGTAAATGACATGCTATTTACATCTTGTGAGTTTCAATGACGCGCGTTTAATTTTATAAAAAATGCCAAACTTTGTGACAAAGAATTTCATCAGCTATTGCCCCGAACCGGTCCGTCTTCTCGCTGCAAGCAGATTGCCCCGAACCGGTCCATCTTCTCGCTGCAAGCAGGATGAAATTCTTTGTCACAAAGTTTGGCATTTTTTATAAAATCAAACGCGCGTCATTGAAACTCACAAGACATACCTTGATGGGGAAAAATAGATCTTATATGTTAGAAGTACTAAATAAAAGTTATCGTGAAAATGAGACTGTCGTTCTCGAGAGAAAAGAGCATAAATGCGCATTTAGAGAGTTTTGGTCCGTTTAAAAATCTGTAAAAAATTGGGGTACTTAAAAGCATCGGGAGGCATCATATATTTCAAATTAGACACGAGGAAGTCAATATTGAGCAAGTTATGGCTATCTTAAATTCAAATAAAACCGTTAACCCGTACCGGTCCAGCTTTTGACCCGTACCATTTCCCGTACCATTTCCTTTTATTTTGGGGTAACTTTGAAGTAACCATGTTTCTCTTGTAAAAGTTATACTGCACAGTACCATTGACTTTTACCCTATGGTTCATTAACATTAACTATTATTTGGGTCAATTTTACTCCCGTCGAGAGCTACTTAGATTTTGAAAGTATAGCTCTCTATCGCTAGAATCAACAGCTTAAGAATCCTGACTTCAAAGAAAATTCCGGGGAATTCAGCTGACTCATGTTGCACATTATATCCCTGAAAATGTATCCTACATCGCCATCTTTCATTCAACTCAACTATAGAACGTCTCACTGCCCTATGTATCGATCAGGACTTCATTTTATTGGTCGTGTCAAAAGTTTTGGCCAGGTATATTCAATATGGCGGCTTGACGTTTCCCAAGTTGCGCATGCGTCGATAATATTTCCATTTAACCGCCATATTGGAAATGGGTATCAAACAATATGAATTCAAAAAACGATTAGAACTCCTGATCACCATAGAAGCACATCAGCGATCCTACACGCACGGGGAAAGTAGACACATATGAGCCAATATGTAGGCTACAGTTTGAGACAAACAGTAAGCCGCTGAATGGCGCTGATCAAATTTAGATGTCACAATTCTTCAGCTGGAGATCCTCACGATGGAGAGCTATACTTTCAAAATCTAACATGGTAGCTCTCGACGTGAGTAAGGTCAATTGAGATTGCCACATTGCTTTCTTTGTTATTAATTGTATTGTGATTGAAATGGGATCATATGTGTCAAAAGTGAATTATTGTATAATTTGTCTGGGATAAATATAAAATATAAATATCAATGGGTCAACCATACCTAAAAACTTGTATAACTGTTGGACTTAAGTTTGTTATTTGACCCATATTCTAAGACATTACCTAGACCCTAAGGAGGATTGGATCCCAGCATGCAATTCTGATATTCTGCCATATATGGTGTCAATGGACCACTTATGTTATGCTGGCCTGTAAACGAACTTTTAGTTAGTGCACTTAATGCTACTCAAGCTGGTCTTATCAGCTAGTGAGTGACGTCACTGCTAGGATTTCCCACCATATGGCCTAATGCTTACACAGAAACTCTTTGGTATCTAAAATGTGTGATCATCTTAAAAATAGTATTACAGCTTGTAATTAATACTGAGTTGGGTCTTGAAATTAACACTTTGTAAAAGTACTACCCCTTCCTCTAATGTTTCCAGGGTTTCTCTTAATTTGAGTGAAAGTTTATCAGATTAAAGCACCTTCATGACAGGCTGGTTAGTTAATAAATGTATTCTCTCTGAACATTCTGGCAACTTGAACATTAAATCTCTCAAAATTGCAGGAAGGGATCAACTTGATTCAAAATTGTTCATTTAGAGAATTGTCTTGCCTATGCAGGATTGAAAGAATTGTTTTGATCCCTTCCTGCAAACGCCCCCCAGACATATTTTACTAAGACTACCCCCAAAATTGGGAAACCCTAATCCTAGTTACATCTCACAAGCAAGTGGCTGTCTTTTAATAGCAACCAAATGCCAGCAATGTTAAAAAGGTCAAGTTACACATTAGCGCTTTAGTGGTAGTCAGCTATGCAGGCTTTGTTTACAATCTGCAGCAGCTGATAGCAGGTCACCGGCTTTTCCTAAACTAAAAGATCACTGCTTAACATAAGTGGGACATCATCATTGCAGTGTACAAACAGTTACCATTTCTCAGTATTTTTCACTTCAGAATTTGAATCGCGAGTTTTATCCTTACATAACGAAAATATTCAAACATACAAGAAGTGATCAAGATATTAGTTCAAATCTTTTGGTTACTGATTTAGGATTTCTCTTTCATGGGCCTATGTTAACCATGCATGGGGATATTTCGACCATGCCCGTTAATTCACATTTTCAGAGTCAACCCTCTTGGATTAAAAATCTTGTCAATTGGAGATTTCAATTTTTTTTTAAATTTGTCAAATTACAAACATGGTGGACATGGTGAATAGAAAATATAATCCATTGTCCAAATAGTCACATGGTCAAAATAGCCCATATTCTCATTATAAAGGGAGGGAGGTAACCAAACCTGTCTGGCCCAGTTATCTACTCCTGACGTCGTAGATCTGGGCCACACAAGGTCCAATGCTAAAAAGGGGGGGGATTTACTCAGGAAAAAACATGTCGCTGAATCATCACTTATTATTCATTCCCTATTAGCCATCCAACCAAAACATCGGGCTACATGTAAACCCAAGTATTTATTTGAAATAAAGAGTACATAACTTACACGTAAATGTGGTGTTTTGTTTGTTATTTTGATGTTGAAATGGGCACAACATTTCGTCAATATTTTGTCAGTTCTCCGCACCGAATAAAGTCACGTGATGTGACGTAACACGAGTGTGACGCGATAATTTTTAAACTTTCATGGAACGAAAGTACATTTCCCGGGAATCAATACATTCCAAATATTACGATTTGTTCAGCAGATTTCTTATCAAAACGTAGATTACTTTATAAAACAGACGTATCTGTGTTGTATTTTGACTGGAAAGAAATATGGTGGACATTAAATACGATTTTTCAATTTGTTGAACTGACCGAATGTAGTACTGAACGAAATATGCAGCCGGGACTTCTCGATATTCCACAAGATCACAAACAGATTGCAGAAGAATTTCTCTTTTTGCTGCGTTTAATCGTTTCGTTCTTATTTATTAGCCGTCATCCAGCAATGGAAACCTACTATAAATACAAAGTTTGATACAAGGAACAAACACGTAAGTGACTTTTATGATGTTTATTCATTTATCAGCACGTATTATACATTGAAAAACCAGTGTGTTTTTTCCGGAGTAAATACCCCATTTTTTGCATTGGACATTGTCTGGCCCAGATCTACGAGGTTGGGAGTGTAGATAACTGGGCCAGACGGGTTTGGTTAGGAGGGAGGGGAATCGGTAAATTACTCTCTGAGTGTACAACAAGTGACCGTGAATCACTTTGAAAATGGGTGGTGATGTAACACCAAGTTCAAGTACACATGATTTGAACTGAACCAAAACATTAAATAATACAAATAACAAAGCTGTTGGAATAAACCTTCAATGACATTGCTTACATATTCTTAAAAAAAATAATTAGAAAAAGAACCGGAAGTGAAACAAAAACTGCGATTTTTTTTCGAATATTCAACCTTATTTTTCCCTATAAAATATGGGTATATTTCGGTGAAAATTCATCATAATATAGAAAGATAGTTTGGATATAATATGAGCATATTAGAACATGGATATGATCACTTATGTAGGAGTAATATGAGAAACTTACTCGAACCAGCGATGTCCATTTCCAAAGTTGACAAATAAAGTGACGTCACAGCGTAATCTGGCCAAGAGTCAAAAAGAGGAATGGTTTGTTTTGGTTGAGAAGTTTTTAAAAGCTGTTTTAAAAGTTACTTTTAAGTGCTTTACACTGGGCCATGTGGATTTTAAAACTTCACATTTGTATAAGAGAAGACATTTTCTTGCTTACAAAGCTTACAGTTGAAACGCATGGACGTGATTTATAAGAGAATTATGATGAATTAATCAAACCATAAAATTTTTGAATTTTTTTTGATTGCCACGAAATTAAAACGAAACTAATAAATATTTTATCATGAAACTAACTTCCTGACAATCTTTGATTCACAGGTAAGCAATCATTTATTATTTCGTTTATAAATAATATTCATGGACTATTTTGTATCTGAATATAGATCTTATTTTATAGTTCAAAACTTGTCATCAAAAAGTCGACCAATCTATTTTTAGAAACAAGGAAGTCATGATTTATATTTATCATTGTATAGGCTAAGAGCATTAGTCATACACAGTATTGTTTATTTTCATATTGTTATAACTTATCCTAAGTAGCTTGTATTGTATGTAAACAATCGTGATTTATACCTGCCTGTTTGATGACTATATAGCGTTGTAAATTGCATGGAGTCGGGATAAGTACTCATATTACATGTACATGCATAGGAATATTTGAAAACCATCTATACTGAAGTTTGTATCATATAATATAGAGTTGTCTAAACTCGTTATAGCTTGTAGAGTCATGCAGTCTCTCAAGCAGTTACATAGTGTTTGAAAGGTAAGTAATTCTTATTTGGAACTTCACAACCACGCCCTCCCACACCCCCATCCCTCAAAAATAACTTACTAGGGGCTCAAAATAATCAGCATTTTGGTATGTATCACCATGGGCTCTATCAGTAGTGGTAGAGCCCATGGTATCACAAACTTTCCAGGAATTAGGGATGTAAAATTAAGGAAGTATGTACAAAGCCGAACTATAATTTACTCTGCTGTTTAAAGAGGAAACGCATGTAGAATTACTTTCAAATGAGCTAATTATTAACTTTTATATTCCAGAATCATGCGACCAAGTGATACTTATCTGGATGATAAATTATATCAATTGAGGCCCACTCAAGGAATATATCAATACCAGGGGCGTATTACTCCATGTATACAAGTACTCATCACTTAAGACACAGACTGCGGGATATACTTTGTTTCTAATTTTGATTCAAAGACAAGGACATGGTTTTACTCTATTAATGGACTGACTACTCTATTAATATATATAATAGAGTACTTTAGGAGTGACAATCAGATATTCTGATAAAACTACCTAGATACATGTACTTCTTATATACGGCTGGAACAATCAAAGAATATTATATACCAAGGGTAACATTCTTTATATACAAGGACTAAATACCCAACTTACAAGGAAAAGGCTGGACCTTTTTTTAGCATATATTCATATATTGTTATACTGACAATCTAGTCATTAACCATGGAGAACATAGACCAAGCTCTGTTAGAATCTCTCCCAATTAACCAACGACAGAAAATTTGTAAAAAGTTACGGCAAGAGCAGTTGAAACGATATGTGGAATGGGACTCAAAACAGCCTGTTATTGCACCAAGCAATAAAAAGGAGAAAAAGACAAAGAAAAAAGATAGAAAGGTTAACTTCGGAAATGATGTGCTGATGTTCTGCGCTGTGGAAACATTTGATGATAGAGAAGGTGAGCAAGGACATGAAGATATTTCTTTTGAATTTTTTAATTGATGAGACTTAAAGGGCATCAACTTCAATGGTTTGGAATAAAAGGGCATCATAATAAATGGCAGGGATGGAAAGGGCATAGACTTACAGTCATTTAGTAAAACAACATAAATAGCATAAAATAAAAGGACATTAACTTATTGCCAGGGAGTAAAAGGGCATCAACATAATAAATAGTATGAAATAAAAGGTGATCTTGATTGATAGAATTTAGTAGACTAAGTATGAACAATGAGGGCATCAACTTCTAATGGCAGGTAGTGCAAGGGCATCACTTTCAATTCTATAGTTGAAATGGTGCCATTTTTAATTGTTGTAGTTGGAAGGGCTTCAAATTGTATGCATTAGTAAAAGGACACAGGTTTTGATGAACTTTCTTATATGTTTGTTTCAGTATTACAACTGTTAGATAAAGGCACCAAAATAGGCACTCATAATGTGACTGGTTTTGATGAACTTTCTTATATGTTTGTTTCAGTGTTACAACTGTTAGATAAAGGCACCAAAATAGGCACTCACGACTCACAATGTGACTGGTTTTGATGAACTTTCTTATATGTTTGTTTCAGTGTTACAACTGTTGGATAAAGGCACCAAAATAGGCACTCATAATGTGACTGGTTTTGATGAACTGTCTTAAATGTTTGTTTCAGTGTTACAACTGTTGGATAAAGGCACCAAAATAGGCACTCACAATGTGACTGGTTTTGATGAACTTTCTTATATGTTTGTTTCAGTGTTACAATTGTTAGATAAAGGCACCAAAATAGGCACTCACAATGTGACTGGTTTTGATGAACTTTCTTATATGTTTGTTTCAGTGTTACAATTGTTAGATAAAGGCACCAAAATAGGCACTCACAATGTGACTGGTTCCACAATTTTACACAAAGTAAGTTGAAATAATTTTATTCTCATTATCTTATATTGAAAAGTAAAATCAATTTAGAAAAGGATGACTGTTTACCTGTATACCCCTACTCTTTGTCAAAGCCCTGATATCGAAATGACACGAACAGAATTACTTATGTAATGTCACCACCAGAAGTGGTGACACAGCATTTGTCAACAATGTTAGCATCTAGTGTCTGTAAAAAATGGCATGTGGTGACATATTGCATGTTAAAGTTTTTTTTAAACTGAGCATTAAATTCTAAGCTTAAGAGTTGGATGTGAAAAAACCAAGGGGCAACATTCCATGACCCTTCAGTAAGGAGACCCAACTCTTTAATAATATGCAATGTCCTTTCTGTAACATAACACAGCTATGCCCCAAACAGTCAGCAACAGGTCATAACCCTTTAGTAATAAACCATAACCTTCAGTAACAACTGCTCTATGAACATCTTTTAAAGTTATTGTATGATTTGAAGTGCAATACAGGATATATTCTGTTCGAGAAATTTTGTATTGGAACGAGACGAAGTTGAGTGCCAATACAGAATATCGAGACAGAATATATCCTGTATTGCACTACAAATCATTCAATAACGTTTTTATCGTGTGATCCTCTGTATTGCTACTGAGATTGTTCCCTCTGTACCAATATTTGCTGTATTGCAACGGAGATGATCAACGGGGACAACCTCAGTAGCAATACAGATTGGTACAGCACAAGAACTGACCAATCAGAGGGCTTCATTTTACAGATCATACGATAATACTTTTGTGTTGTAGTGCTGTATCGAAGACAATATATCTGCACTGGAGATTCTGCTTACACGTGGTGATGTGGATGTTAACATGACAGATGAGGACATGTGGACGCCCCTACATGTAGCATCTGCGTGCGATCATCATGAAATAGCACAGCTTCTATTGAACGTAAGCATTAATTTGATTAAAATGTTGTGACTTCAAATGTTATCAAAGTTACTCAACTATGACATCATGAATCGTGAAGTCAAACTTTGACATCATGTCATGTTAGGATATAAGCGTGATTTTGATTGAAAAGTTGTGACTTCAAATTCATATATTAAAGTTAAGAATTCAAAAGACAATTGTTCTCTAACAATGACATCATGAAATCCTTAGTTAGGACAGCGGTCTTATATGAATATTTGAATGTTTGAAATAATGCTACATGGAAAGCAAATTTTTATCTTGTAAAATATGTTGATACATTACAAATTGATTAGCGATTTATAAATGTATTTTGTATAAAGTGATTTCTTGAAAATAGCTCCCTGATATGAAATAAGCGCTCATGGTATGCATATTAAAAGTTTAGTCAAAATTACCACCATACGTTTTAAGGCAATAATCTCAAGATTTAGAGATAGTGAGAGTTAAAGGCCCCATATGAATATTTGAAAATCAAAAGATGAACAACTTTTCAAAAGTCACATTTTTAAAAAAGTGTCTCTAATGGTTTTTCAATTTTAATGATTTAACTATATTCTCAAATTTTACATGGGACCTTTAACAATATAAAGACTTGCATGTCTAATATTGTCATTGCTGTTTAGAATGGCGCTGATCCAGCCTTGATGGATGTTGACGGAAACTTTGCGATCGACCACACACCTGACCAATCAGAAAGCAGATATATTTTACAAAACTACTTAGATAACAAAGGTGCAAGATTTTACATTATTTCATTAATTTTTATAAAGGATTCTTTCTTTTGGAGAATTCGTTTTAAACAATACATCAATTTTTTGTCTGGCATGATTATTTATTAGAAAATTCTTTTGATTCAATTTATCAAGTGTAACAGTGTTTTTCCTCTTTCTTACGCCATGATGCTTCCTGTTGTGAGTGAAAGTGTTGTTGAACATATTTCTAGGACTTGACCAGAAAAAACTTCGAGATCTACAACTGCAGCTTCCACGACAAATGCTCAATGACGTCCAGTCTCTGATTGGTCAAAAACAAGATTTGAATACAACCAGTGAACAGGGAATTACATTGGTGAGTGACCCTTGAAAGTTATAGACAAAAAATGATCCAATAAATTTACTTTGCCTGCCTTGTTATAAGACCCTAGTTGATTACTACAAACACCCTAGTTAATTGTTTTTTACAAAGATAACAAATAAAAAAATTTAGATAAAAACTGTTGAGAATGGCATTTTTATTATTATTTTATTTTTCAGCTCCACATAGCCAGTGCAAATGGCTACAGAGATGTCATTAAAGTGTTGTTGGAGAACAAGGCCAATGTGGATGCACAAGATAACACTGGATGTACTCCTTTACATGTAGCAGCTAAATTCAACCAGGTCAGTAATTCCTGATTATTATACACCTAGGGTATGATATTGTAACAGTTTGGCCTATTTTTGTGGATATACGTGGTAGCGTGGCTAATAATAGGCCCCTGTTTCAGTAAACGGTGTTTACTTGGTGAGTTACACGGCACACATTAAATGTGCGATTGTCCCTAAAGAATTAAACAGACATACACAATTAAATATTAAATATAAAACATATTGTGGCGTTTATAAGCCCAAATAAAGATGTACATTAAATTTCAAGTATGAATGTTAAAATGCAACTATGTTAATATCTCTCTCAAAACTCAACTCAAAAGTCCATATAAACTAATAATTATCACTTATGAAACAATATCCAGAGTCCATATAACTGAAGTTAATGATCACTATATACACTGTTGTATCTCCAATATTAAAAGTTCATATATGTTGTAACACTTCTAAGTTTCGTATTGTACTTGTAACTTGAACCTGGAATACTAAACGGACACAAAACCATCTAAGTCCAAATATCTGTTGTGTAAACTCCTAAGTCCTGGATCCTTTCCAAGGTGTTGTAGTATATGATGTGAAATCATCCAAGTCAACTCTCGGCTCAGTAAATGTCTATCTCCCGGATCCTAAGTCAAACTATTGCTCCGTAAATGGCTATCTCCTGGCTCCTCTTCACTGTATTATAGTATAATTCAGCTTTGATAATGTGAAATCATCAAGTCGACTATCGGCTCGGTAAATGGCTATCTCCTGGATCCTCTTCTCTGTGTTGTAGTATAGTTCAACTTTGATTATGTGAAATAATCCAAGTCAAACTATTTCTCTGTAAACGGCTATCTCCTGGATCCTCCTCTCTGTGTTGTAGTATAATTCAACTTTGATTATGTGAAATAATCTAAGTCAAACTATTAGCTCTGTGAATGGCTATCACCTGGATCCTCCTCAATGTAGATGTATATTCTAACTTCAATGACACAAAATCATCAAAGTCAAAATATCTCGCTGGATAATCTGCTAAGTCCTGGAACGTCCTCTCTGTAGAGGTATATTCTAACTTCAATGACCCAAAATCATCAAAGTCAAAATATCTCGTTGAATAAACTGCTAAGTCCTGGAACCTCTTCTCTGTAGATGTATATTCTAACTTCAATGACCAAAAATCATCAAAGTCAAAATATCTCGTTGAATAAAATGCTAAGTCCCAGAACCTCTTCTCTGTAGATGTATAAGTCAACTATCACAATCTTCAAACTACCAAGTCCAAGAACATCTAAAACACGGCATCAACTGCTAAGTCCATGTAGCCTGCTTCCTTCACAATTACATAATAATGTAATGACCCGAGGGCGCCCCAGGGGAATAACTAATTAACTAACAACTAACGAGCATAGTGTAACAAGCCAGATAAAGAAATTGAAAGAAAGTGTGCTAAATTCAATGCCCCGTGTGGGAATCGAACCTAGGACCCTTGGATCCAAAGTCTGATGCTCTACCGACTGAGCTAAAAGAGGCTTAAGCCTCTACAGCTGGACTGTAGTAGCAACTTGATATCGAGGGTCGTTACACTATCTCCCCCTTTGAAAGGACCACGCCCTCGTGGTCAGCCCTGCTTTCCTAGCAGTGACTACCACACACACACGGGCGCAAAGGATACAACCAATGCTTTGATCCCACATCTGACACCAATGTAATGACCCGAGGGCGCCCCAGGGGAATAACTAATTAACTAACAACTAACGAGCATAGTGTAACAAGCCAGATAAAGAAATTGAAACAAAGTGTGCTAAATTCAATGCCCCGTGTGGGAATCGAACCTAGGACCCTTGGATCCAAAGTCTGATGCTCTACCGACTGAGCTAAAAGAGGCTTAAGCCACTACAGCTGGACTGTAGTAGCAACTTGATATCGAGGGTCGTTACAATAAGGCTACCTACAAATATAGCATGCACACAACGACATATGCAAAAATATAACATGTGAAAATATTTGACCTCTAAAATGACTAAGTTCATTTAATGTTAAGTGATACTGATATTGAAATATTCTAAGTTCAATATTTCTCTTTCCAAAAACAACAAAGTCCAAAATAATATTTCACCAAATATTGACTAAGTTAATTTCATACTAAGTTATACTGATGTTAAAATATTCTAAGTTAAATATTTCTTTCTCCAAAAACAACAAAGTCCAAAATATTGTTTTACCAAATATTGACTAAGTTCAATAATGTTGTAAATCGTCTAAGTTCCTTGATGATCAGGATAGCTTAAGTTTCTCAAACACAAGTTATATCAGCATTTCCTCTCAGTCTATGAAGGCTGGACAATACGTCTAATGCTTTGCGCTGGGGATAGCTTCACCCTGTTGAAGTTTTGTCCAGTCTTGTAGATCTCCCTTACTTCCAGTGCGGTAAATAAACTAAGTCTCACACACTTAGTTACATCAAAGTTTCCCAAAAATCCAATCTCCAAAATAAACTAAGTTTCTCACACTTAGTTTCTTCAATCTGCTCTTGTATACTGCAAACGTATATCTCAGATCATCAGCTGCATCTTACAAATGGATAGCTCAGCTCACCAGATGTACAGGGTGTCAAATAAGTCCCGTCCCCCCCTCTACAGCCAAAACCAAGATATTTGGTACCAAGTGTGATATATCATTGGAAAGGTCTTCCAAAGTTACGTTGATTGGCATATATCTGACGCATGTCAATCAATCTCACAAATTTTTACATTGTATCAATTGAGGTGACCATATGCCTAGAAACATGGCAATTTGGCATATTTGGCAGGATTTTAAGAATCGGGTATAAGAAAGGTCAAGGGACCAAAAGATGACTAAATATGTTTATGGCAATGAATTTAACCAATTTCTGGATAGGGTTAGATGTGTAGAAAATAGAGGGGCAAGGAAAGTGCTGAAAACCATTTTGTAACAAGTGGAATGCGAAAAAGATCAACTTTTTGACGTATTTCTGAGGTCATATCCTTGTCATTTTGACGCAAAAAAGCTACTTAAAGGAGGGCACGTAAACTATAAAAGACATCATAAAAATATAGGTAAATTTCATCCCAAATACTTGAGAGTTGGTGAGTTAACATAACTTTGGATGATCTTTCCAATGGTATATCACACTAGGTACTGTCTGTTAAGGCTTTAGCTGTAGCAGGGGGGACGGGACTTATTTGACACCCTGTATACTACCAATGTACAGCTTCTATCTTCATGTGTATACTGCAAACGTATAGCTTCACCACCACAAAATCAACTAAGTTCTCAAAATAACTTCCGCTCTGGAAGTCCTCCCTCGACAACATCTGGCATCGCACTGACGATCCTTCAACAGCGAGATACTTATATAGGCCCGATGACGTCATCTATTTCAACTGTAAATTACACCTTATTTACGCCATATTTCGCTTCAATATTGATCATACAGCAAGATTATAATATTGACTCAAGAAATATAACAGTAATTAACCACTATCTAGTCTAATTTTACTTCGATTCCATCGAATAAAAAGCAGGAAGTAAAATAATAAAGGTGTCATGTTAGACTACCGATCAACTACAAATTAGACTGCCAGATAAGACTGCCCGATCAACATAAACAAAATCGTGATCAAATAAATAAAACATGTGAACTATTTCACCTCTGTAAGTACAACCTAAGTGCTGCAAATGATACTACATTTATAAATCTTAATAATCTCAATGGGAAATTACTTTCCAAGTGTAATAATTACCTAATGTACAAAAATACAGCACTTTATCAAAAATCAAAAATTTTACATTTAAAATTCCGTTACACTATTGAAAATACTGCAATATGATTGGTGCAGACTGTGTTATTTTATAGCATGTCATATTCTGAACATCATTTTACTATACTAGGTTCAAACTGATTCTTGATGATTTACGTCTTATGTGCGTGTTAAGGTGTTGGTCTTTCAACTCCTATTAACTCTATTAACGGGAAAAATAAAAAGATCATTGTACTATTATTGACTGATCACATAATGTAACTGGTCATTAGTACTTTTCATTTTCCCTGTTAAGGGGGATTTCAATACTTTAAGTTCATCTATTACATGTCATGTGATCATAAATAAGCCAATGAGCATTCAAAACACACATTGATTAAATAAGTAAAAGTAATACTTACATGACTTATTTTCTATTAGACAAGAGTTATAAAACTCCTGCTGAAATACAAAGCTAATCCACGCATTGAAAACAATGCTGGGGACAAAGCATCAAATCTGATCAAAAATCCTGCAGTACAACAGATGCTTTGGAAGGTAGAGCGAAGCTATACAGAAAGCACACAAGATAGCACACAATACGGCACACAAGACGGCACACAAGATGAGGAAGATGTGTATAATACAACTAGAAGAGTTAATAGTCGTGTTATGTGAGTACATCTATAATCGGTGGACATGCAGTGTGACTTGACATTTGAGTCCACCTATTATTATTCTCTGATGATGCCTGTTCTAACCATTTTGTCTAAAATTTGAGTGAACTTTCTGGTTTTCTTGTATTTCTATACAAGTTAGAATATTGGCTACATGTCTGTTTACTTCATTCCTTGCTAATTCCACTCATTTCACTTTAAAATTTGAATCAACTGTCTGATTTTCAGGCATTTCTGTACTTTATCTCACTATTATTTCACTCCTATCCTCTCTACTGTATAAGTGGTTTTTAAAGCAAGTGCTTAATTTGCCTAATGGTCAAATTTGATCTTTTTCTAACTTTAATTTTCCTGATGACAAGAAACTTCCCATTGGGTAACATTATGAAGATGATATTTCCACCATTTAATTTTCCAAACCTGGCAAAAATTAGGCAATAAGCAAATTAAATGATAAGGCAAAATTACCACTTGGCACTATAATACAGTATCTTGCATCTAATAAAACATGGCTATCTATATTTCTAGTCGTCCTCGACATGATTCTCTCTCCAAAAAGGATGAATTATACGAGGGGAAACTACGTCTTGAGGAAGCTGACACCGAAGATGAAAATGTGGAAGAAGAAGATATTTACTCAATGTTGTCATTGGCGCTCAGTGGAAAAGCTATTGTAGATCCATCTAGTGATGATAAAGCTTTGCCTGAGTCAAGTCCCACTGATGATCTTGCATCACTTAGTCACATGACTGAAAATCTGCTACTGACTGAGCTGCATCAACGCTACTCACAATCCAGAATATATGTAAGTTTATATGTTACCTTTGCCAAACATATGGTGGCAGCGTTATTCACAATCCAGAATATATGTAAGTTTATATGTTACCACTGCCAAAGATATGGTGGCAGCGTTATTCACAATCCAGAATATATGTAAGTTTATATGTTACCACTGCCAAAGATATGGTGGCAGCGTTATTCACAATCCAGAATATATGTAAGTTTATATGTTACCACTGCCAAAGATATGGTGGCAGCGTTATTCACAATCCAGAATATATGTAAGTTTATATGTTACCTTTGCCAAAGATATGGTGGCAGCGTTATTCACAATCCAGAATATATGTAAGTTTATATGTTACCTTTGCCAAAGATATGGTGGCAGCGTTATTCACAATCCAGAATATATGTAAGTTTATATGTTACCTTTGCCAAAGATATGGTGGCAGCGTTATTCACAATCCAAAATATATGTAAGTTTATATCACTGCCAAAGATATGGTGGCATAATGTTACAGCCACCATTTTTGTGATCAACAGTCTGCGCTAGTTATGTCTTTTTGTGTTGATCAAACAAATTATATTTTCTTTTTATTTCCAGACCTATGTAGGAGACATCCTAATTGCAGTGAATCCTTTTACAATGCTATCAATCTATGGAAAGGAGGTAAGGATTTAACCTACAAAATACTCAAGCTATAGATGCCATTAAATTGCCGGGCATTATAATTGCCGAAAGGCTCTAGAAAGCTTTTGCCGAATTTTAATTTGCCTACCTTTGACCCCTTATGTTAAATTGAATTGTTAAGCTGGGGCTATAACAAAAACTTCACCAGCTAATTTTTTTACTAGCTCTGTAAACATTATATAGAGATTTCATGCATTTTAGTCTTACTGCAATACAGTTAGTTTTGTCCTTACCAATATTTTCATTTTGAAAATCACACGAATAGCCACTCAGGAGAAAAAAGAAAAAAGCAATCATCAGGATTATCAGATTCATAGTATTAGTTTAATTCCTTTCTTTCCCAGGTGTCTGAAAAATACAAAAATAACCCTGAACAATCCAAAGTTCCTCACATATACGCCATTGCTCAAAACATCTACACGTCATTTTTACGAGAGCAACATTCACAGTGTTGTATTATCTCTGGGGAGTCGGGATCCGGGAAAACGGAGACGAGTAAATACCTAATACAGCATTTGTTGGCAACGACACAGAGTGAAGAAAACCAATTGAATGTCAAGTTACAACAGGTGAGTCTTCGGGTGATCATTATTTAAAATGCAAAATAGAGTGGAAAATAGTGATGTTATCAAGGAGCATGTAAATAGGCATGAAAGTAATACACTAAATTGTATAGAGATGCAAGAAAATCAGACAGTTCATTCAAATTTTAAAGAAAAAATTGTCATTTCAGGAAGGCAAGAAATTTTGATGAAAAAAGGAATTTGGGAAAAATATAATCTCAATAAAGCTGTCACATGTAATATTTAATACATACTTTAAACACCATATAACAATTAGGCTGCATTAATTCTAATACACCCCCCCCCCCCTTCCCCACTTCACAAACATCAGGAAACAGGAAGGAAGAAATCTTGAGAAAAATCATAATAACATGCTTTTTCTGTTATGCTAGGTGAATCCACTACTTGAGGCATTTGGAAATGCTCAGACTGTCATGAATGAGAACTCAAGTAGATTTGGCAAATACATTGAGCTGATGTTCAGTCCTGATGGCTTCGTACAGGGAGGTAGGGATGGAATATACCAATTAAAAGAATAAATATTTTTAACTTAGGATAAGTGAATTGAAATGAATTTCTTCCAGTTTCATTTTTGTATTTTCCATTTCAAATGATACAGAAATAAAGCAGTCTTAAACATGTTCCTAATGTTAGTTTGTATATTACTTAAGGGTGCAAAATCTTGCATATTTCAGGCAAAATCCATGAATATTTACTTGAGAAATCCAGGGTAGCCAATCATAGTGAGGGGGAGAGGAACTTCCATATCTTTTACCTCATGTTCGCTGGTCTCTCCCCAGATGAATACCAAAAATATGGACTTCTGTCTTCAGACAAACACAGGTGAGAATTTCTCTATTTGGGTCATGTTTTGAAATGCAAAATAGAGTGGAAAGGACTGGAATTATCAAGGAATATAATAGATTGGGCTGTAGTCAAAACTCTAAATTGTATAGAAATGCAAGAAAATCAGACACTTCATTCAAATTTTAGAGAGAATGAGTGGAATTAGCAAGGAATAAACTAAACAAGCTTGTAGTCAACACTCTAAATTGTATAGAAATGCAAGAAAATAAGACGGTTCATTCAAAGTTTGAAAAGAAAAATAGGAGAATACCCGAGAAATTGTTTGGGAAAGGATAGGCAGAAGATGTGTAGATTTCAAAGTCATGGAAGTTACATAGATGAACAAATATCCCATGCGTCACACCTCAAATGTACCTTTTTAATATGTGTAAAATTGTTATATAATTATAATGCTTGTATGTACTTGGGTCAGTCAAAAAGTTCTGTTTATTTATCTCTAACTTTGTCATTTTGAGGAATTATTTCTTGATATTTGGTACATCTATAGAACATATACATTTGTGCAACTATTGGCTAAATATTGTATCCTGCAAATTATGTTGTCATTTTACAGATATGTCAATCAAGAGAAAGATCTCAAGTCTATGATGACAGAGGACAATCGACAGAGATTTCTAGTCATACAAGAATGCCTTAAGTTCCTGGGCTTCAGTAATAATGTAAGACAAAGGTTTCTAGTCATACCAAATGAATGTTTTAGTCATACAAGAATGCCTTAAGTTCCTGGGCTTCAGTAATAATGTAAGACAAAGGATTTTAGTCATACCAAATGAATGTTTCTAGTCATACAAGAATGCCTTAAGTTCCTGGGCTTCAGTAATAATGTAAGACAAAGGATTTTAGTCATACCAAATGAATGTTTCTAGTCATACAAGAATGCCTTAAGTTCCTGGGCTTCAGTAATAATGTAAGACAAAGGTTTTTAGTCATACCAAATGAATGTTTCTAGTCATACAAGAATGCCTTAAGTTCCTGGGCTTCAGTAATAATGTAAGACAAAGGTTTCTAGTCATACCAAATGAATGTTTTAGTCATACAAGAATGCCTTAAGTTCCTGGGCTTCAGTAATAATGTAAGACAAAGGATTTTAGTCATACCAAATGAATGTTTCTAATACAAGAATGCCTTAAGTTCCTGGGCTTCAGTAATAATGTAAGACAAAGGTTTTTAGTCATACCAAATGAATGTTCCTTGTCATACAAGGATAGCTCAAGATTTAATAACAACATAAAATAGAAATATTTCAAGTAAAAGTCATTTCAGAACCAGAAAACGTTTGTACCTGGCCCTGCGGGTTGTATTCGACAATACTACCCCTGCTCTTCAATCTATATTTCTTAATTACATTGCAGGATTTGGACAATCTATTCCTGCTTCTCTCTGCTGTACTCAATCTTGGAGATATTCACTCCTGAATTGATAGTAACATTCATTGCATTGCAGGATTTGGACAATCTATTCCTGCTTCTCTCTGCTGTGCTCAATCTTGGAGATATTCACTCCTGAATTGATAGTAACATTCATTGCATTGCAGGATTTGGACAATCTATTCCTGCTTCTCTCTGCTGTGCTCAATCTTGGAGATATTCACTCCTGAATTGATAGTAACATTCATTGCATTGCAGGATTTGGACAATTTGTTCCTGCTTCTCTCTGCTGTGCTCAATCTTGGAGATATTCACTCCTGAATTGATAGTAACATTCATTGCATTGCAGGATTTGGACAATCTATTCCTGCTTCTCTCTGCTGTGCTCAATCTTGGAGATATTCACTCCTGAATTGATAGTAACATTCATTGCATTGCAGGATTTGGACAATCTATTCCTGCTTCTCTCTGCTGTGCTCAATCTTGGAGATATTCACTCCTGAATTGATAGTAACATTCATTGCATTGCAGGATTTGGACAATTTGTTCCTGCTTCTCTCTGCTGTGCTCAATCTTGGAGATATTCACTCCTGAATTGATAGTAACATTCATTGCATTGCAGGATTTGGACAATCTATTCCTGCTTCTCTCTGCTGTGCTCAATCTTGGAGATATTCACTCCTGAATTGATAGTAACATTCATTGCATTGCAGGATTTGGACAATCTATTCCTGCTTCTCTCTGCTGTGCTCAATCTTGGAGATATTCACTCCTGAATTGATAGTAACATTCATTGCATTGCAGGATTTGGACAATTTGTTCCTGCTTCTCTCTGCTGTGCTCAATCTTGGAGATATTCACTCCTGAATTGATAGTAACATTCATTGCATTGCAGGATTTGGACAATCTATTCCTGCTTCTCTCTGCTGTGCTCAATCTTGGAGATATTCACTCCTGAATTGATAGTAACATTCATTGCATTGCAGGATTTGGACAATTTGTTCCTGCTTCTCTCTGCTGTACTCAATCTTGGAGATATTCACTTTGTCTCAGGAGGCAGGAATGACTCAGCACAAATCTCAAATATGGACCTAGTAAGAAAAGGTATGTCAAGTGCTCTACTATACCCCAAAAAATTGGATTGTCAGTACTCGGTAGAGTGTTTGAGGTCTCACAATTTTGCAAGATATGGTCGTATTGTTGAAAATCAGTTGTTTTAAAAGACTTTAGACTTTAGGTGGCAGAAATAATTGATTTATCACTCTGGTTTAATCAATAAGGTAATGGTTTAGGCAGGGGTGTTAAACACTGCTCGTTTTACAATATATCATAGTTTAGGATAGTGGGGATGTTTTCCCCTTTGGCATTTGTACTTACATAATGATTATTATGTCAGCACCACCTTCGCCACGAGTGGTGACGTATTGTTATAGTCTCCAACTTTTTTGGTGGATGGTGTTCGGCATTTGCCGGTCAGCATTCGGCATCTGGCATCTGTAATAAATGGCAGGTAGTGACATTTTGCATGTTAATGGCTTGTTTGACTCTGCTTTTGTGTTTAGTTGCTTCCATGCTGCAAGTGCAAGTTGGAGAGTTAGCTGGGGCTCTTGTGTCAGAGGTGACAATAACACGGGGTGAACAAATCAAGAAAGAGAGAAACGTGACGCAAGCTAGAGACTGCTGCGACGCCCTGGCTAAATCCTTATATGGTAAACACAGCACACATGGATTTCATAATCTAACATGTTTGATTTGGGTCATTTCCTGAAAATATAGTTCATAATCTAATCATATCATATCTCATAGAAAAATATATATGATAAGGATTTCTGATTTCTGAATTTCAATGGTCCAACAATAACGCAAAGGATTGTCATCAATCAAATTGTACAAAACTCATTATACATAGTTTTTATAAACAGATACTTAGAATAGCATAATAATTCTACTATTTTTGAATAATCTACATGTACAAATAAATTGAAAATTTGCAGGTCGTCTGTTCAGTTGGATTGTAAATGGCATTAACCAGATGATTCAACCATATGATGGTTGTGGTCCTGGCCTGGAGGTTGGCATTTTGGACATCTTTGGCTTTGAGGACTTCACCACCAACAGTTTTGAACAAGTGAGACAAAAACTTATTTCCCATTTTCTTTTATTTCAAAATATGCCTTTTTGAAGCATTTTACTCTCTGAAATTTGAATGAACTGTTTTATTTTCTGGAGTTTCCTTAAACTTTGATGTCAATGGCATCACAAACTTTTAATAACATTTCTTTTGTTATGCATTTCCAGACTTTTCTTGCAAAACATTGAATTAACTAGTTCATTTTACAATTTTGAGTGTTGACTACATGCCTGTTTATTTGATCCCTTACTGTTATTTCAATGACCACATCTTTAAGCTTGAGGCCCAGGACTACACAGATGAGGGCATTCCTTGCTAATTCCACCATTTCCTCTGTAAAATTTGAATGAAGTGTCTGATTTTCTTGCATTTCTATACAATTTAGATTGTTGACTATACGCCTGTGTAATTCACCCCTTACTAATGTCATTGTTTTCCACTCCATTTTTCATTTCAAAACATGACCATATTTTCAGTTATGCATCAACCTTTGCCAATGAGCAGTTGCAGTGTTATTTCAATGACCACATCTTTAAGCTTGAGGCTCAGGACAACACAGATGAGAGCATTCCTTGCTAATTCCACCATTTTCTCTGTAAAATCTGAATGAAGTGTCTGATTTCTTTGCATTTCTATACAATTTAGAGTGTTAACTACACCCCTGTATAATTCATTCCCTACTAATATCACTATTTTCCACTTCATTTTGCATCTAAAAACATGAATATATTTTCAGTTATGCATCAACCTTTGCCAATGAGCAGTTGCAGTGTTATTTCAATGACCACATCTTTAAGCTTGAGGCTCAGGACAACACAGATGAGGGCATTCCTTGCTAATTCCACCATTTCCTCTGTAAAATTTGAATGAAGTGTCTGATTTTCTTGCATTTCTATACAATTTAGATTGTTGACTATACGCCTGTGTAATTCACCCCTTACTAATGTCATTGTTTTCCACTCCATTTTTCATTTCAAAACATGACCATATTTTCAGTTATGCATCAATCTTGCCAATGAGCAGTTGCAGTGTTATTTCAATGATCAGCTCTTCAAGCTAGAGGCCCCGGATTACACAGAAGAGGGCATTCCTTGCTAATTCCGCCATTTCCTCTGTAAAATTTGAATGAAGTGTTTGATTTTCTTGCATTTCTATACAATTTAGAGTGTTGACTATACGCCTGTATAATTCACCCCTTACTAATATCATTGTTTTCCACAACATTTGGCATTTCAAAACATGACCATATTTTCAGTTATGCATCAATCTTGCCAATGAGCAGTTGCAGTGTTATTTCAATGACCACATCTTTAAGCTTGAGGCCCAGGACTACACAGATGAGGGCATCCCAAGCTGTGACATCACATATACAAACAATCAGCCAGTTGTAGATCTTTTTCTACAGGTAGGTACACTTGCCCAGGGTGGCAAAAATCTTATCAGTTAACAAGTATAGCGGGGCCACTTTAAACTGAACATCTAAAAATGTTGATTTTCTCAATTTGCGAGTAGGGCAAAAACACAAAAGAAAAACTTGATTTGAGATAAAAAAAAAGTCTAGTTTAAATGAACTTTTCTTCATTTTTGACCCAACTATACAATTTATACTTTTTATCAGGTTTATATTGTAACTGCACGTCTGTTGATTTAACTCATTTGTTGCTTATTTTTCTTTTAACCACCATGACATATGCAGAAACACACTGGCATCTTCTCACTAATGGATGAAGAAAGTCGTTTCCCCAAGGCAACTGACAAGTCCTTAGCAACCAAACTACATAAAGGACCAGGTACATTCTACTGAAGCACTGTGGAGCATGTTAATTTTGCTGATTGATAAATGCACTATCATTCAACATATTGTGAAAGAATTACAACTGACTTGATAATCATTGATTATGATCAGAAATAGTGAATGCAACATAAATGTTGTTATATGTAATCTATGTTATTAACTGATTTAGAATTAATACATGGATTTTTCAGTTATTCATATCCCTTTAGATATTGCTTCAGGTCTCAAATACAATCTTGCTATGAAGATATGTATGTCAATGTTGTCTAGTTGTGGATGAATTATTGAATCTCTGTAAACATGAAATTGATTCAATTATTTATGAATTATACAATAAACTTCTACACTGCCTTACTTAAAACAAACTGTTTCTTTATTCAGGGGAGGCTGCACCAAGCATCTACATCACCCCTAAAGATCAGGGGCTGACATTTACTATCTGCCACTATGCGGGTAAAATCAAATACAACGTAAAAGGGATACTGGATAAGAACAGAGATACACTGCCAATGGCTATTATGTTCACTATGAAAAGTGAGTGTATCTTTTTGATTTATTCTCTTGCCAATGGAAGAGGAGGAGAAACCCCAGGGTTCAAAGATGACATACGCTTATAATGTAAATCTGTATTGAGATGACATCGTCGCTGATTGGTTTAGCGAGTCGATCGTTGATTGGTTTAAAACTAGGTCAGAATATGAAAGTCGCAATTTTGTTAACAAATATACGTACTTCCGGGAAAGGAGGTGCGCGAAGGAGGAAATCGTATGTCATCAATTGAATCATGGGGTTTCCCTCCTCTTTGCCAATGGTATAGAGGGTTTGTGTGTACCTCTCCTAGTTTATGCTGTGGAGGGGGGGGGGCACAATGCCATTTAACACCTTGTATATACAATGCAATGTAATATATTTTAACATTAGGATAGGTGTAATAAACAATGTAATAAGTAGTTCATTGATCAAAAAGACCTGAATAACCTAATAAAAACACATTCATGATTTTGGTTCACTCAGTGTTCAAAAGAATGTATTTGTGAAATTTTTCCATGTTGCCCTCATAATTCGTCCTCATTATTTGGATAAATCTGAGCAAAAGTAAATTGATTGATAAAATTTTTCCCTAGAATGTACCTTTTCATCTTTTAAGTTACAAATTATGATAAAAGATTACAGTAGTTAATAGTTATTTATTTTTACGAGCTATCACGTGTTTTCCACAAGTATCTGATGAATTATTTATTTGACCTGCATTTTCAGCCAGTAACAGTCTTTTGATTAAGGAGTTATTCCAGTCCAAAGTAAAGAGAACGGGTTCTCTTGCCCCCAGTACAAGGCAACAGCGCTCACGCAAAGCACCAGAACCAAAGTCAGCATTTGACTTTTTCAGACGCAAGAGAAACTCACAGAATGAAAGCAAGGTTTGTGATAATTGATGATTTAACTGCATGGTTTTGAAAGAATAAGTCTTGCTCAAAGACTGTATCCACCCCCCCCCCCCGTCACCTTTACTCTCTTTACCTGGCAATATACAGAGAGAAGGATAAAGGGGGGGGGGGTACAGGGTCTTTTAAGCAAGACTCATGAAAGAATATTTTTTGACCATGTTTTGCTCGAACTCCCTACTATCCATATAACAAATGTATATTTGAAAATTTTGAAAAAATTCATAGAATGGAAGAAATCGTAGTGTAGTGTAGTGTATTGTAGTGTAGTTTATACAACAAAATTCAAAAAGGTATCAAAATACTCTTTATCACAATTATGTACTTTAATTTTCAGGTGAAGAGAAGTCGCAGAGAGAGACCAGTGATAGGTACAGAAAGAAAGGGCCCTGCTACCATAGCATATCATTTCAAGGTAGGTCAGAGAGAGGGAGAGAGAGACACCAGAGGCTACTGAATATCTTTGTCTATTATCTATTATTGTAATGCTAAGTAAAATTTCGTACAAATTCAATACTGAAACATGTGTGAAACGTGTGTATTTCATCAAGAAATGAACAAGTATCTGATTCATGAAATTTTTATTGTATTAACCATTTCCCTTTTAATAATACTTTGCGTTGAACAAGAGGGAGAGAAACCCCAGGGTTCAAAGATGACATACGCTAATAATGTAAATAATGAGATGACATCGTTGCTGATTGGTTTAGCAAGTCAATCGTTGATTGGTTTAAAACTAGGTCAATTTGAAAACTTTGAAATCCAAGATGGAGGGAAGTATAAATATACGTACTTCTGGGAAAGGAGGTGCGCGAAGGAGGAAATCATATGTCATCAATTGAATCATGGGGTTTTCCCTCCTCTTCGATGAACATGATGCTTACACGCCAAACAGACTCTACAATTTTAGATTGTACCAAATGATATGAATCATGAAATTCACCATTTTTCAGAACTCCTTAGCAGAGCTAATGAGCAAGATGAACCGAAGTGTCCCTCACTTTGTGCGCTGTATTAAGCCAAACATGGCCAAAGTGGCTGGCAAGTATGACCCGGAGTATGTACTACGACAACTCCGTTATACTGGAATACTCGAGACTGTGCGTATCAGGAGGGAAGGTTTCTCTATGAGACTGCCATTTGCTGAGTTCCTTACCAGGTGAGAATACATGTATATGAGTGTTGAATTAAGGCGGGCACCAAAAGTGTTGAGTTAAGGCGGGTCTAGAGAAATCATTTTTCTGTTGCCACCACAAGAAGTGACATATTGGTATAGTCGCCAACTTTTTTGTGGATGGTGTTTAGTGTTTTTGTTTGGTGTTCAGCAGTTGGAGTTCATTGGTCCTTGTCTGTAACAAATGGCAGGTGGTGACATTTTGCATTTTAATGCCTTGTTTTTCCTGTGTTCAGAAGATGGTTCATTCTCAGAGACTCATAGTAGATAAATATATTTATTTATATCTATGTCATCTTCCAGGTACAATGTTATTGCCGTATGCGCCTTACCCATGACGAGTGAAGCGTCAGATCTACAGCAATAGACCCAAGCTTTGCAATATTGTGACATAGAGAAATACAAGGTTTAGTTTTATTTTGCAGGTACAATGTTATTGCCGTATGCGCCTTACCCATGACGAGTGAAGCGTCAGATCTGCAACAATGCACCCAAGCTTTGCAGTATTGTGACATAGAGAAATACAAGGTTTAGTTTTATTTTGCAGGTACAATGTTATTGCCGTATGCGCCTTACCCATGACGAGTGAAGCGTCAGATCTACAGCAATAGACCCAAGCTTTGCAATATTGTGACATAGAGAAATACAAGGTTTAGTTTTATTTTGCAGGTACAATGTTATTGCCGTATGCGCCTTACCCATGACGAGTGAAGCGTCAGATCTGCAACAATGCACCCAAGCTTTGCAGTATTGTGACATAGAGAAATACAAGGTTTAGTTTTATTTTGCAGGTACAATGTTATTGCCGTATGCGCCTTACCCATGACGAGTGAAGCGTCAGATCTACAACAATGCACCCAAGCTTTGCAATATTGTGATATAGAGAAATACAAGGTTTAGTTTTATTTTGCAGGTACAATGTTATTGCCGTATGCGCCTTACCCATGATGAGTGAAGCGTCAGATCTGCAACAATGTATCCAAGCTTTGCAATATTGTGACATAGAGAAATACAAGGTTTAGTTTTATTTTGCAGGTACAATGTTATTGCCGTATGCGCCTTACCCATGACGAGTGAAGCGTCAGATCTGCAACAATGTATCCAAGCTTTGCAATATTGTGACATAGAGAAATACAAGGTTTAGTTTTATTTTGCAGGTACAATGTTATTGCCGTATGCGCCTTACCCATGACGAGTGAAGCGTCAGATCTGCAACAATGCACCCAAGCTTTGCAGTATTGTGACATAGAGAAATACAAGGTTTAGTTTTATTTTGCAGGTACAATGTTATTGCCGTATGCCCCTTACCCATGACGAGTGAAGCGTCAGATCTGCAACAATGCACCCAAGCTTTGCAGTATTGTGATATTGAGAAATACAAGGTTTAGTTTTATTTTGCAGGTATAATGTTATTGCCGTATGCGCCTTACCCATGATGAGTGAAGCGTCAGATCTGCAACAATGCACCCAAGCTTTGCAATATTGTGACATTGAGAGATACAAGGTTTAGTTTTATTTTGCAGGTACAATGTTATTGCCGTATGCGCCTTACCCATGAAGAGTGAAGCGTCAGATCTACAACAATGCACCCAAGCTTTGCAGTATTGTGACATTGAGAGATACAAGGTTTAGTTTTATTTTGCAGGTACAATGTTATTGCCGTATGCGCCTTACCCATGAAGAGTGAAGCGTCAGATCTACAACAATGCACCCAAGCTTTGCAGTATTGTGACATTGAGAGATACAAGGTTTAGTTTTATTTTGCAGGTACAATGTTATTGCCGTATGCGCCTTACCCATGAAGAGTGAAGCGTCAGATCTACAACAATGCACCCAAGCTTTGCAGTATTGTGACATTGAGAGATACAAGGTTTAGTTTTATTTTGCAGGTACAATGTTATTGCCGTATGCGCCTTACCCATGAAGAGTGAAGCGTCAGATCTACAACAATGCACCCAAGCTTTGCAGTATTGTGACATTGAGAGATACAAGGTTTAGTTTTATTTTGCAGGTACAATGTTATTGCCGTATGCGCCTTACCCATGAAGAGTGAAGCGTCAGATCTACAGCAATGCACCCAAGCTTTGCAGTATTGTGACATTGAGAGATACAAGGTTTAGTTTTATTTTGCAGGTACAATGTTATTGCCGTATGCGCCTTACCCATGAAGAGTGAAGCGTCAGATCTGCAACAATGTATCCAAGCTTTGCAATATTGTGATATTGAGAAATACAAGGTTTGTACATTCTACCTATATTGGAACATCATTGAATACTGACATGGTATATAAGTATGAAGTTGCATTAAATAGATAGTTTGTGTATTTTTTTTATTATGAAGGAAATAAAAAATATGTTAAAAAAAAGAAAAAGTTACATTAAAAGGTATTGCATTATTGAATTGCATTATATTATATTGTATGGCAAGTTATTGTATTATTGTATTGTATTGCATTATATTGTATTGTATTGTATTGTATTACATAATATGGGATTGCATTATATTATATTGTATTGCAGTTTATTGTATTGTATTGCATTATATTGTATTGTATTGTATTGCATAATATGGGATTGCATTATATTATATTGTATTGTAGTATATTATATTATATTGTATTGTATTATGTTGTATTGTATTTTATTATTAACTTATTTGTCACTTTCAGGTGGGCAAAAGCAAGCTGTTTTTGCGGTACTGGCATGTTGATAAACTGGAAACAATCTCGCGAAAGTTGGAGTCAAAGGTCATAACGACTCAGAGAGGTATGTACTAATAAGGGCAACACTAGATACATCGGGTGACTCAAATAATGATTATCAATAATGCATAGACTCTGTTTGTTTATTTGTATATTATAAGGAAGAGGATTTTGAATCCACTTTTTTCCAGATACACATTAAGAATTAAGACACTTTATATTATGAAATTGAAATACGTATTTATTTCAAATATATTTCATATATTTATGTTTGGTTCTGTCACAAACAGTGAAATCCTTTAGAAAATCATGTTAATCATATTTTATTCAATGTTGTTTTTTAAGACCTCTTATACTAAATGTAATAACTGGCGCCATTCTAACCAACTCAGCTGCTTATACACAGCCAATATAATTCGACGCCGTTTCGGCATCGAACAAATTTGGCACCGTTCCGGCACCGTTTCGACACCGTTCCGGCACCTAAACCTTTCGACACCAAAATTTGCTACCGGACTAGTCAGTCCATTTGGTGCCGAAACGGCACCGAAATTTGGCACCGAAACGGCGTCGAAAATCAGATTGCATTTTGGGGGTGTATATATTTTATGTACTCTGCTGCTACAACTATATAAACCGCTTATTTGTTCTCAGTATGGAAAGGCTGGATGCAAAGAAAAAAATTCATGCGCATATTGGATATAAAACGACGCCAGGATGATTTTGTGTCACGATTTCTTACTGCCGTGGCAACAATGGGCGAGAAGCATTATGACATCATAATACAATCGAGGGAACATGATACTGAACGTCAACAAGCAAAGGATGCGCCACCACCACCAGAACCAGAAGTTGAAATGAGGACAAACCTGAATGATTATAGAAAGTAAGTAAAAATGACTTAAGAAAACAAACCCCCATAATTCATATAAATTCAATGTAATGTCAACCATTATTGTCTCATATTACTTGGTGAATGCTCCATTATAGATGTAGATTAAAAAATTGTCAAAAAGTAAAGTTTGCTATTTAGTCTCAAAAAATTATTTATTTATTAGTTATTATTTGTATTTATTTGTTTGTTTTGTTTGTTTATGTATTGTAGTCTTGGAACCACACAAAGCAATGGTTATCATCCAGATATATTAACTTTAATTTTTTAATTCTCTTGCTAGTTTGATATCGGTTGGGAGCTACAACATCTTACATTATATTGTCATTACCACACTGTGAAACAAATAATATCTCTACTGGTAATTCACATGGATAAATACTGTAACCCTGTTTTATTATGTTGTTCTGTATTTCATGTTTTTGGGCTTATTTGCGCAACCGAGAGTTCCATCAAAATTGTTTTTAATAATAGATAACTGAGAATGATTGACTTGTTTGGATCAGACAAGTTTTATCAATTATATCATATGTGAAATATAATTATTCGCAATGGTAGCAAGGGTTACAGTGTTTTAGTTGAATCATTCAGCATGGAATGTTTGCTGTAAATAGAATTGGGTCAGTGCACAGGTCAAGGTCAGGTCAAGGTCAGATTCCTGAGGTCATGTCAGGTAAATTATAAACAGTCAATAAATGATGATGTTAACTTCCAATGATGGAAGTTTGGTTCCTAACATAAGTGAATCAACTGATCTTAACCAATCAGTGATGACGTTAATTCCCAATGACATGAGATTGGCTCTCCCCATAATTGAATCCATTGAACTATGGAAATCTCCTAATCTGGCCTGAGTAACTATGGTTGCCTGGCAACACGACCTATTTCTATTTTTAGTTAAGCTCATGATTTTTGTAGCTAGCGCTGAATATTTTAGTTTGCTTCATAGATTTGGAATATGATTTAGCTCAGGATGAAAAATGGTACAAAGACAGGCTATTTTTTCAAATGCGTAATAAAGTTAGGACCCTTAGGGGATACTTTATATTTCATAGATATAGCTCATTTAGATCGTCGAGAAAACTGGAGATTACGTAGAGAATAGGCACGACCATTGAGAAAATCTAGGGAGGGTTGTTTTATTATACACAGCGGCATTCAAACTATGTAAACAGTTTTTCCAAATAAAATATATTTGCCAGGTGCAAGATGTCATAGGTTGTAAACATTATCAGCATTGTTTGGAAACATTGTTTCCTACAACGATGATATTATGAATCTAGCCAATATACGAGTTGCCTTATTTAATTATATCCCGTTCTGAGGCCATTTTTTGGAAGCACAAGCGCGAATACTATAATAAGCATTGTTTTGAAACATTGTTTCCTACAACGATGATATTATGAATCTGGCCAATATACGAGTTGCCTTATTTAATTATATCCCGTTCTGAAGCCATTTTTACGGAAGCACAAGCGCGAATACTAAACATTGTTTCCTACAACGATGATATTATGAATCTGGCCAATATACGAGTTGCCTTATTTAATTATATCCCGTTCTGAAGCCATTTTTACCGAAGCACAAGCGCGAATACTATAATAAGAGTGACAACCTTGAAGAGATGGGACTGACATTGGAGAGCGAGGAATACTCATACATCCTTTGTTCATTTGTGCAGTAAAATGTGACAGTGTTTACTTGAAAAGTCTTTGATACATTTTGATATGCTGCTGTTCTACATATGATGTTGTTTGATGTATGGGATAAATTAAAAGGCGGAAATGTTAAATAGCATGATTTGATTATATGGCTGGAATTTGCTGTGAATTAAGAATTTGAGCATGATATGAGTTAGAACTGACATTAAATGGAACGGAAATTGAAACAGAACAGATTTCAGAACTTTCTTTCAGAATTTTGGAACTCGATTTGGACATTCTATTTGGCTTACTATATCCAAAATCGTGTACGTAACGAAATTGTCAATGATGGCTTATTTAGCAAAATATCGAAAATGGGATTGTTAAGACAATTATTCCATTCTATGTCAGCTCTAATACAAATGCATGATGAAAAATTATTACATTTAGGTTTGGACGAATATTTTGGTTAGATTTTCGTCAGGGAAAACCTGACACCCGTAAGGTGGAATACTTTTCAGAGTCCCAAGACCAACTGATTTTATGTTGAATCAATCTCTATAAGTCAAACACTTTAGAGGTATCAAAGGTTTTCCACTCATAAACAGGTTTATGTAGAGATAGTTCCTATTGTTAATGTACATGTAGTTTATACATTTTTATTTATGAAGTTTATTTTGATTTTTTCATTGTTTTGTATCTCATTTAATGCATGTCATTTTTAGATTTATATATTGTAGATGAATTAATGTATATAATGAAATGTTTTAAAATTAAATGACTCAATGAATGAAAATGGAAAACGGACTGTATGTACAGTATATCTCTAAAAAACGCAAATGCTTATAAAAAACATACTCTTAAAAAACAGACATAAAGTCAAAACAAATCTACACAACTTATGACAGTTGGACACAATCCTTTATATCCCATAATTTTCTAAGATATCCCATAATTTTTCTAACATCCCATAATGCTTTATTGTAGAAATGACGACATCAGGCGATCAATTGAAGCCCTGGATAGCATCATTGATGAATATGATGAAGAATCTGCGGCAACCAATCACGATCCATTGTACGATGACCCAGCACCTTATATGGGCAAAGAGGAATCTGTGTCTGGCGCAGCTGATTACTATAACAACCCTGATGAGATTACGAGGATCAGCCAAGTCTATGTTGAACCGATGACTCAGAAAACAACAAGTGAGTTAGTTGCATGCCGTCTTGGTGGTCATGTTTTAAAATGCAAAATACAGTGAAAAAGAGTGGAATAAACAAGGAATGAATTAACAGGCATGTAGTCAACACTCTTAATTATATAGAAATGTCAGGAAATCAAACACTTCATTCACATTTTAGAGAGAAATAAGTGGAATCAGCAAGGAATAAAGTAAACAGGCATGTAGTTAACACTCTAAATTGTATAGAAATGCAAGAAAATCAGACATTTCATTCAAATTTTAGAGAGAAATGAGTGGAATTAGCAAGGAATAAAGTAAACAGACATGTAGTCAACACTCTAAATTGTATAGAAATGCAAGAAAATCAGACAGTTCATTCAAATTTTAGAGAGAAATTAAGTGAAACCTGAGCAAGGAATAAAGTAAACGGACATATTGACAACACTCTTACTGGTATAAAAAAAACATCAGAAAATGGGTCAGATTTGAATATAGTCAAATATTGGAAAGCTTTATCTACCCTGTTCTCGGAGTATAAAATACTATCACGCATGCTTATTCTTTTCGTCCTTTTATTTTTCAGCTTCCCCGATATACAACAACCCAGATGAGATATCCTTGGGGTCAAGGAGCAGCCAAGTATATTCAGATATCACTGACCCTGGTTCAATCAGAGCTAAAGTACCTCCCCCTACAGCAAGCGACGCTGCAGGTGTTATATCAGAATTGTTCGCGAGACCAAAAAGTATTGAGACGATTCCAGATCTTCCGCCACCCCCACCTCCAAGTAATCTTATACACGCTGGAAGTTTGCGAGTATCGGGGTACCTTCCTCCACCTCCTTCTGGTTCAATTGAAAATGAGGCTGGTGGTGATGGTGAAGTATCCCAGGATGCAACTGCACCTCCTCCACCTTCATTTAAACCACCTCCACCAATGATGCATTCTGGTCCACCACCTCCTCCACCAGTGATGCATACTGGTCCACCACCTCCTCCATCAGTGATGCAGGATGGTCCACCTCCTCCTCCTCCTCCAGTGATGCATGCTGGTCCACCTGCACCGCCTCCTCCACCTATGATACCAGCTGCTCCAGGAAACACTGAAGGTAAGGATATTACCATCTATCAATATAACCTTTATGTTTTGTTTATTAAACGTGCAACATAAAGGATGAGTTGAGTGTAACTTTAAAACACAGGTTGTTTCATTTTTACAATATTTATTCCTCTCACAACATTCCTTGCCATGTTCTAATATATCAAGAGTGAATGTCTCATTTTTCTGTTCTAATGATTTTCATCCTCCTATCACAGGACTTCAAAATCCAGAATATATTCTTTCTTTTTACCCCCTGCGATAAGCAGTTGGTATTTCCCCGATCAAAAACTCGCAATCTGATTGGCCGTCGCAACACTGCGACAGAAATTGAGTGTAAGTCATTGCGCATAATTAGATCATGTGATTCAGTTTAATATCGGGCTCTTCCAATTGGTTATAGCAGGGGGAAGAAGGAGGTACGGATCCCTGATACCTGCTAAGGAGGATGATGATTTTGGACATTTCTGCTTCTTTAATGAGCTAAAAAGCTGTGACAAGGAATGGAATGATTGAAAAAGATTCTGATATTGAAACAATTTGTTGTCTTATAATCCCTGATTATGACTTAAAATATTATTCACACGTATTATAACATTTCCAAATAGATAGTTGTGCCTTCTATTAACAGTCATTGATCTTAACAACCATCTAAAATTCATTTCATTTTAACCTATTTAGTTTTGACCTTTTACTTTTCTTCTATATGAATTAACATTTATTCATTCTTGAGTAGAATGTCCCACCAAATGAAATATAATATAACTTATCTTAATTTGATGAATGATGTTATAAATAACTTGCAATGGAATAGCCTACATATTACTCATGAAGGGGTACTTAACTCAAAATAAAAATGGCTTTTTTAAAAGCTGAAACTGATCTAGAACTGGACAGATTTTGGGCATGCTGGGTAAATTTTAAGTTGACCATTTTTGTTTTTCCGATCTTGTTCAGAGTTTGCCCTAAATTAAAATATCTTACTAGGGAGGTTAATTTATACATTTTTTAGAGAACCTGTACATGAGCGTGTAAAATCTTGACCCCGGAGATTACTATCTCGATCTCAATTCACTTTCCCCGGGACCTAATCATAATTATTTTCTGTAAATCTTTGTACTTGATCAACCAAGTAAACACTACAAAAGGGAGAACTAATCTACAGAGGACCAAAATTCAGGTTCGGGCGGCCCGTAGCCAGGGGGGAGGTTCGGGGGGTTCGGGCGACCCCCCCCCTGGCCAAAATTTCTTCCAAAATCATGCAGTTTTTCACCATCTGACCATTTTTTTGAGTGATTTTTGGCCTTGAATTTTTCGGAAAAGTGAACCCCCTTGGAAAATTCTGGCTACGGGCCTGCAAGTTTTAAAAAATGTGTATCTGAACCTTCCTATTATTTGGTGGGATTGGCTACTCTTATCTATGTATTAATTAAACACTACTGCCATCTTTTTATTAGGCTCAAACCTCGATCTTCTATGATCTTTCATGTCACTTTCTGATTTTGACAAATCATACATAGAATCGACATATTCAATAAATCCTACCACATTTTGTACATCAATGAAGTTATGATATATTTCTCGATCAATGATGTCATAGGTTGTTGGTAGAAATCTGTCCAATCAAGTTACAATACTTGAAAGTACATTATGTAAAATGTTGAAGACAATTGGTACATATTTAACAAAATACCAGCACCAGTCCTGTTACTCTTTGAACACCATGTATGCTTAACTTGTTGTTAATACAAAAAAATACAATTATCGATCTGGCCAGTATGTATTTTATAGCTGCTTAGATATACCAAAAGGTGTCAGGATTTATTGGAAAGGTCTATTCAAAGCTTGACGCTGATATAATAATACTTGTTTCTTCCTTAGCCTAACACCTGCATGTTTTCTAGAGGGAGAATCCCGACCCCCCTCATTTAAGCCCCCTCCCCCTCCAACCAAGAAACATGTTCACAATATGAGAGATACCTATACTCAGACAGGTAAACTTCTTCTTGATAAATGCATATTGAGGTCTTACATTGAATTTTAAAAAACAGACTTATAGTTAGAAACAAGTCAAATTCTTTACTTCAGAGAATATTTTTAATTTATTGAGACTTTCGACTAATATCCTAATGCAACCTAAAATGAACAGAGATAATGGGTATCAGTTGGACAATTTGTATCATAAAATATTGTAAATTAAGAATGGTATAGCAAAGTATGCAATAGTAATATTTGAGTTTAATTGTTACCATAACGATGATATATTTATCTTAAGGTTATTATTAGGTCATTCGTTTTTTCGTATCTATGTTTTTTGTTGTTGTGATTTTTTAGGTTACTAGGTCATTTGTTACATAATTAAATTTTCCATTGTCTGTTTATGACGTCACATAAATGTATACATGCTGTTATATTTTGAAAAAGACTAAGGGATATTAGTCGAAAGTCTCAATAAATTAAAAATATTCTCTGAAGTAAAGAATTTGACTTGTTTCTGATATATTAACCAGAGAGATGAACTTACATAAATACTTATAGTTATTATTTCATGACTTTTTATTTTGCTATAAACTGAAATGTATTAAAGCTAGTGTCAAATTTTTCTGTGTAAGTTCTCTCTTAGTTTCTTTTTACTTTTGCCATTAGTTATATTTTTCTTTTTAAAGGGGTCGGATCAGTATATAAATGTCAAGTTATTTAGATTTTGTTTTATGGTTTGGTTTTGTAAGATAAAATCATGTAGATGAATTTGTTTGGAAACCAACATTTGAGATTTTATCTAAAAAATGAGGGAAGGACTCGGGGTGTTAAAATTCAAATGGACATTGGTATTTTGATCTGACCCCTCAACATATTATGTATTTTAATTTCTTTATTTGTTCATAGTTCTTTAAATCTTAATCTTAATAGTTCTTTATCTGCATGTAGATTCTTTCCTTTTCTCTTAGAACATAGCTCTAACAGCATGCCAAAGACATCTAGAATCTATGTGGCTACACCACTCTCTCTTATGATACAAGAATCTCAAGGTAAAAGTTGAATCATTATTGTTTATAGAATATATGGTTCAATAGTATATTGCAATGGTATTATCTTTGGATCATCCTTAATGTGGCTACATCTTTATCTGTTATGATCAAGTAGCCTTTCAATTGGGGACCAACTTTACAAAAATTTTAGTTGTAAATAGAGTATGAAAGAGTTTAAAAAGAAATGAAGTAAATCGTCAAGTTGTTTTACCACTTAAAATTGTCATAGAAATGAAAGTGTACTGTTAGGCCCATGCCACCCTTATGGTATAAGTCAAAATTCAGATAATCTATCTCAACCGAGCCAGGGCATCCCAATCTATTGTTTCAATTGCTTTATTAAAGATGTTGGGGTTTTAGATTTTTGTTTGACTGTTTATTTATTTCCTATTTTCTGCAATGTTGCTATAACAGAAGATGAAGTACAGAATTGGCCATTTTGGTTTTTCATTTTGCAATAATAAAGTGAATGTTTTTCCGGTTCTTTTCTTTTGACATCTACTCAGTGTGGACATTTTGAAGTGATCTAAACAACATTCTACCCTTTTCCTGAAAGTACTCGTTCACTTCATCTTCTCATAGAGTTTGTATTAATTCACAAAATTCTATAAATCGGAACAAGAATAAACCTGGATACTTTAATTTAATTATATTTGAATGTATCATTTTTTGTTTAACTCTACGTTTAGCTTCACAACAAGTCACAACAGGGATCAATTAGTTTTTATACATTTTTTTCATTCAAAGCAATGCATATGAAAATATTTTGTGCTGATATGTGTTTTGATCTTTTAACTGCTATAATCATTAATAGCAAGGGATAGAAGGGATTTAGAATCTGGGAATTAGTTCATATGGTGTGACAAAAATGAGTACATGAGTACCAAATTTGAATCTATGATATATCATAATCTAGTAATGGGTCAAAGTAAAATAAAACAATATTTATGATTAAAATATATGATAGTACTATATTAACCCCATCACCTTTTGCTCTTATCTATAAGCCTTATATATAAAAGTCAAGTGTTCTTGGCTGGTGTGGACTGGCATGATTAATTGATGTTATAAAATCATAAATTCATATTTGATTAGAAGTTTAGCAAACCCCCCCCCCCCCTAAATAAAATTTTAATGTTGAATAAAACCTGTCTAAGTGGAACACCTTTGGTACCTCTAAATAAGTTCCACTTTGAAGGTATTCCACCTACAGTGTTTCATCTAACAATAAGTTACTTATAGAGATGTTCCCGTTAAAGAGGTGTTCCATGTACAGGTTTTACTGTTTATTATAATGGATATACCAGTTCATGTATCACATATGTGACACTTTAGATTAATTGTTTCTGTCTTTTACACAAATTATTCCAAACACCAACTCCAGCAGATTTGTTATCTCTGGTTCTCAATTGAAATATATTTACACAAAAGTAACGCAAATGTTTTTCAATTGATAAGAACGATTTGCATCATTAAAGTCCAAATTGTGTTATTGTTATCTCGTCTATCCCCACTCACATTTTACTCTTTGAACTTCAATTCAAATATATTCCCATTTCTATCTCCAACCAACAGATGTCCTTGATGGTTCAGAACTACTGCACTTGGGAGGTGAACACCATCAGCCTCAATGAGGAGGTGTCTGAGGAACACACCACTTGGACTAACCAGACTCACTCTGTGGTTCTTGCTATCAGCCATTACGATGTGATCACCATCATTGCAAATGCCACATGGCCTTTCCAACTTACCATCATCTGAGCCATAAGAGCCATACTGCATTAGCTTCCTTCCCTTTCTGTCTATCACTGTGATACAGTGATTATCCCAGTCAGAGATCACCACATTTTTGCTTTCATTAACTGCAATGTATGGGGAAGTACTTTGAAATAGTCTATTAGGAGTTGTGTCCAACACTGTACCTGTTGGGTAATCAATGAAGGAGATAGACTTAGTCTTAGCATCAGCTACTACTAACTCA